TGAAATAGAAATTGAAAATAAAAAAAACCCTAACAAACCCCCAAAAGGAATAGTAGGAGACCACCCTACAAACGAAGATTAATCTTAAGAAAAGTTATAAAAAGTGAGATCTTCACTTTCCAATTTTTTAGTTAATATAACAATAAACATTAAAAAAGATAATAAAAAAACAGAAATAATTTAAACTTAAAAATTAAGCAAATAAAACTCTTTTTAAAATTAAAATAATTTAAACTAAAGTTCGGTAATTAAAAATATTAATGATAAACTAAAAGAAATTATTAATTCATCTTCCTATATAGAAAATCAATTTAATGACATATCTTAATTTCATAATTTAGATAACTTTCTTTAATATATAGATAATAATTAAAAAATGAAATATTAAGACTTAGAAAGAAAAAAATAAAATTCTACTGATTTCTAAAACATCAATAAAGAAATAAATAATATATAAAAAAACAAAAAACTTAAATCTATATAAATTTAATAATAAAAATAACAATTTATAAATCTAAAAGATATATATAATAATAATAATAATAATAATAATAATAATAATAATAATAATTTAAATATAAAAAAAAAATTTAATTGTAACTTGATAACATAAATATTGAATCTTTGGTTACAAACTAAAAAAAATCAGCCTTAAATGAATAATAACTATAATCTCCATCTCCTGTTTTAAGATAAACTATTCTTTAAAATAATGCAATTAAAAATATTCAATCAAATATATCAAATAAAGAAAAGGAAACTATTTATTCAAAAAATTTTCGTGCTAATTAAAAAAAGAATAGTTCTTTTAAGGAGAAAAATAATAGCAATTAAAGAATACAAATTAATAATAATAAAATATTAATTTCAATTAATTTTAATAATAATATTTAAAATTCAAAATTTAAAAAATAAGACTAAAATCTTAATAACAACTAAATACATCGAAAAAAAAAATATAAAATGATTTTAAAACAAATTCAGAAAGATAAAAATTATAAATATAAGAAAAATCAAGAGCATAATTTAAAACATCGCGAAAATACTCTAGTATATAAAATCATTAATAATAATAACAAAAAAAATAAATTTATTACTAAATTTAATATAATAAAGAAGATAAATAAGAAAAATAATATGAAGAAATTACAAAAAATTAGAAGAATAAGATATAAAAAATAATAATGAAAAAAAAAAAGTTTATAATAAAATTAATAATAAAATTAATCAAAATAAAATAATAACAATAATAATTTTAATAATAATAATAATAATAATAATAATAATAATAATAATAATTATAATTATAATATTTATAAATAAAATTTTACTTAATAAATAATTGACAATTACTTAGAAAAAAATAAAATCGAAAATATATTAGAAATATAAAAACCATAACATTAAAAAAACACAATTTCAATAATTCATTAAAGGCAATTAAGTAATCCTACTATATTATTAACTAACAATTCTCCTTCTGTAAATAATGCATATTAAAATATAAGTATGAGAAACTCAAATTAAAAACTTAGATTGAATAATAATAATAATAATGATTAACAATTTTGTGATTATTATTAATTAAGTGATAATAATATTAATACAGTAAACAGCAAAAGAAACAGTAATGCAAATAATTTCAATTTAATTTCTAATGATTTAAATTTACTTTTATCTTCAAGAAATAGTGATTAAGTTCATCTTAATAATGATAAGAAAAATCATTTTTACAATAAATCTTAAATTAATAAATGTTTATAGTAATAATAATAAGTTAAAGAAGATAATAAAATCATTTAATAAATTATAAATAATAAATAACCGCAATAAAAATTATAAAAGAAATTCAATTCATTATAATTATAAATTAAATCTAATGACAATTAAGAATAAAAAGTTAATAAAAATGACTTTAATACTCAAAATATTTAATAAAATTATAACAAAAGAAGTTTATTTATGTATTAAACTTAATTCAAATTAAATTGAAAATAATATACTAATATAGAAATTAATATTTTTATTAAAACAAAATGAATATTTATAGCAAAAAAAAAAAAGAAACTTTTAATTACTTTTAATTATAATAATTTTTAATTTTTAAAAATATCAAATTATTTATAAAAGATTAATAATACATTAAATTTTACATAACATATATATATATATAAAAATATTATTTTAGTAAAAAAAAAAAAAAAAGAACTATAAAAATTAAAAAAATGTTCTATTTATACATAAATACTCTCACTTTAAATATCGATTAAATATCCACAAATAGTAGTTCCTAATAGGAAAATTAACAATAAAATTTCGAACAAATTCCAATATCAAAATGTCACACCCAACTATACAAAGAACATTCATAATTTCTTCATTCCCAACAACAATAAAATTAATACAAATCACCAATAATATATATATATTCTCTTCCTTTTGACTTTGACTATATATAGTTTTTAAAAGATACTCTACATTCATTTTCTTTTAAAAATATAATCATCCTTGAGGAAGAAAAATTTACTAAAAAGCGTTCAATAATAATACAATTTACACCTGAATCGAATTACTCATAGCAATATATTGAAAATTTTAACTGTTCCTATATAAATAAACACCGTGAAGAATTCATGTATATAATTCCTTTATAGTAATTTTGTATAAATAAGCAAGAAATAGATATTTAAAAAAACCTAATATAACTACCCACATGTCCAGTTTGTATTGAGAAATTAGATATAACAGTATCTTGTTTAAATTTATAATAATTTTCTTTGTTTTTTGAAGCATATATTTACTAAGAACCAGAAAGATGGTCTGAAGCGAAAAAAGTATGCCTTACATGTAATTTAAAATCCTATTCAAATGAACATTAGTGTTCTAAATGTTAAGAAAAAGAAGATTTATGGATATGTATAATTTGTGGAAATATCGGCTGCGGAAGATATAAAAGTGGGCACGCAAAAGACCATTATTATATAAGTGGACATTGCTTTAATATGGAAATCGAAAGTGAAAGGATTTGGGATTATTATAGTGATAATTTTGTACATAGAATTTTAAAAAATACAATTATTTAAGATTAATAATATGATTAAAAAAAAGATATGTTCGAAAAGGGATTTTAAGAATATTCACATATTATAAGGCATTAATTAGAGGAATAAAGAAAATATTATGAAAAAAAAATTTAAACTTTATAAGAAAGAAAAAAAGAAGAGGAAGAATTAATAAAAAAGCTTTAAGAAACAAAGAAAAAAAGAGAAGTTGTATAAAAAAATATAGAATAAGTTATATAGAAAAAAAAGTAATTTACAGAAAAAAATAAAAATATGTTAAAAGAAATTGAATAAATTTAATTATTTGTAGATTCATTAGAATAAAATGTTAAAGATATAAAACCAGTTAAATAATAATTTAGTAAAAAATTATAAGAAAAATAAAATGAATTATAAATTTTATAAGAATAATTATAAGACTTGTATAAATAATTAGAAATAAATTGAAAATAATAAATATATATGTATATATATATATATATATATATATTTATATAAAAATTAAATATTATATTTTTATTTTATTTTTTATATAAATTTATTTCAAATAAAAATATTATTATATAAATTTTTTATTAATACAATTTTTTTAATTTCTCTATATTTTGATATTATATTTACTCTAATAATAAAAAAAACATTAACTCTTTAGTTTATATTTTTTATTAATATATTTAAAATATATTTAAATATGTAAACTTAAATTATTATATCTTTTTCATTTATATATTTAAAAATTTTTTTTTAATCATTTTTTTATATAATTATAATAAATATCAATAATGAAATTCTATTTTTTATAATAATAAAATAAATATTTTTTATTTATAATTAATATTAATTATTAATTTTCAATTAACTATTAATTTTTTCTATTAATAAATTAAAAATCAATAAATAGACTCTTTCAATCAAATTTTTCATTTTTAGCTGCATGTGTTCTTAATGAAGAAAACCAAACACGAGAACACGCATAACCAACTATCCAAACATTCAAACCCACTATTTTTAATCTAATACCGAATGAATGTCCAAATGATTCATTATTTTTTAATAAGAAATATGCTGCATTATAAATTTTAGTTCTCATTTTTTTTTTTTTAATTTTTATTATTTTTTTTTTATAGATTTTATTTTTATTTAACTTTTTTTTGTTTTACTTAATATTAGTATTTTATTAATTATAAATTTATAACTAAAATATTATTTTTCTATTCAACTGCAATTTTTTAATATATAATTATATTTTTAAAAAAAAATATATAATTTTTCCGATAATATGATATATTATAAAGTTAATAAAATAAATAAATAAAAATGAATTTTTAATATTAAAATGCCATTCTAATATTTAAGTTTTAAAATATGTAAATAATTAATATTAATAAGAAAGTATATATTAACATTTAAATAAATTCTATTTAATTTATATTAAATTAAAAAAAATATTCTTTTATATATATTAATCAGTAAATTAATAATAAAGATTTATATATATTCTATAAAGTAAAAATTTAATACTGTTAAATAATATAGAGTAATAAATTTATGTATTTTATTGATAGGATTATATATATATACATTTATTAATTAAATTCCCATTAATCTTTTTAAAAAAATGAAAATTTAAAGTATATTAAAAATTTTTACATTTAATATAATTTTTTTTTTTTTTTTTTTGATAAAAATATTTAAACAAATATTTTAAATTAAATATTTTTTTAAAAAAAAATAATAAAATATAAATATAACTAACAATATTGAATATATATAAATTTTAAATGGATCAACAAAAAATCAAAGACTTGTAAAGTAAATGAAAAAAAAAATTTAATTATAAAAAAAAATATTTAAAAATTAGATTATTACAATATATTACAAGAAAAAGGATATACGGAAGAATAAATAAACGAAATTCTTTATGAATAATTAAATAATATGCAATTACAAGACAATATATAACAAAAACAAGACGATGATGATGATGAAGAAAAAATTTTAAATTACGAAAACCATCATCCATTACCAGAAGTAGAATATGAAAACCATTAATATGACCAAGAAGAACAATTTTAAGATTAATAATAAGACTACTAAGAAGAAAATAAACATAGCGAATAAGAAAATGAATATAATGAGGAAGAATATTAATATATTGAACTACAAAATTAATATAATGAGGAATATAAATTAAATGAATCAAATAAATAAACTGAAAAATAATAAAAAAATACTATTATAATATAAAATAATAAACCTAATAAAGAAAATTATTTTGATATAAATACATAAGTAAATAATGGATTTAATGCAAGCAAAAAAAATATAACTTTATAAGAAAAAATCTCTTTTTCGAATTTACTCAATTAATAAAAATTAACCGATTCCAGTTAATAATTTGCGCCTTTAAAATATGCCCAAAACTATGAACAAAGATCTTCCCAAAATTAAAAAAATAGTCTATATACAAATAAATTTACTTAAAATTACATTTAAAAACGTTCTAAAGAAAACTCATTTATCCAAAACTAACAAATAAATGACGAAGAAGAGAAAATACTCTCCCAATTAAAGCACAAACTACATGTTATTTTTATTTTTTATGTCTCCTTTGGAGATAGAATAAATATTAATTATTTAAAATCAAATAAGTTTCATAAAATGATGACAGATGCTTAGATAAAAGGCAATATTTTAACCTAAAACAAACTCGATCTATTATTTGTTAAAGAAAATAAAAATAAACATAATATGGATTTCGAAACTTTCCTTAATTTAATAGCTAAAATAGCCCAATATAAATACCCTGAATGCAATTAATATGAAGCTTTATAAAATATTCTATATTTAAACTTCATTCCTTTATATGAAAATATAGTAAATGAAACTGATTTAGGTGAATTAATTAATTTCCAAGAAAATATTGACATAAACACAATGGGAATTTTGAAAGAAATAAATTCTATTATAAAATTAATATATAAGACATATTTTCCATTTGAATGGAAAAATAATAAAGATTAAAAAATTAAAATTTAATCGGAAAATTAAACTTTTATTTTTTTAAAAGACTTTGATATTTGTCCTCAATTAATTACTAAATCTTCTTCCTTTCTTCTTTTACGAGAAATACTCTATAAGTAAAATATTCTTGAATATTTCTAAAATGATTAAATTAATAACTTATAACAAATCGAATATTATTTATCTGAAGATTCTGGAAGTTATTTTACTTATTGGAAATTTTGTTTATTACTAATTAGAATTGCAAACGTTTGTTATGTTAATATTTTTAGTTAAATCGAATAATCAATCACATGTGATTATAAAGCAAAAAATCTTTGTGAAAAACTTACATTTCTATTAGAAAGAATGGAACTTTCTTAAGGTTTTATATTATTGAATAAAAAAAGTGTATCTTAATAATCCTTGATTATAAAAAAAAAAATGCTTTATATATAAAAATAATAAAACTCCAATTAATAAAGATATTCCAGAAGTAGAAGTGATAATGGTTAAATTTCAATTAATAATAGTAATATAAATAATAGTATAAGACAAAACTAATAAAGCATATATATATAATAATAATAATATATTTAATATTCAAAAGATCATTCATTATTAACTTTAAACGATACCAATTAAAATAATATAGATTAATAAATACAGACAGAAAAAATTTAAAATATGTAAAATTATAAATTATTTAAAAATCCAATGTAACTGCTAGAAATAAAATGCTTAAAAAATATTGATATAATAGATTAATACGCAGATTAATTAAAATAAATTTTTTAATCATTTTGCAGTTTTGGAGATGCGATGAATTTCGATTATATGACTTCTTCGAAATTCTAAAAATTGTTAAAATAATCTAATCTGGTTTAAAATAATAATAATAATAATAATAATAATAATAATAATAATAATAATAATAATAATAATAATGATATTGCCTTTAAATAACTTTGTCCTCTAGAAATCGATCTTATATTTATTTAAGTTTCTAAAAAAAAAGATATGAAATTTTAAAAATGTAAATATTTATTATTATTATTACTTATATTTTATATTTTTAAATAAAGAAAAATCATAAGTAAATTAAATAAAATTATTATTTGAATAGTTTATTATTTCTTTAGAAATTATAGCATATAAACTTTATTAAGAATTAGATTTAAGCGATGCTTTTAATATTATTATTTAAAATCACATATTAAATATTAACCAATCATAAAATTAATATAATAATAATAATGGAAACGAATATGTATAAATACTAATGGATATTCTCAAAGACTAGGAAATAGTTGATTTATTAGGAATAATGCACAAAACATTGATTTTTTCTTTTAAATATTATTCGAACAATAAAAATACTATTAATTTTGATAGATTTATTAAATTTTGTAAAGATTTTGGTATTTTTCCTGATATTGTTCCCAAATCGAAACTATTGAAAATCTTTAATACTTTATCTTAAATATATAATACTACAGAAAATCCGTAAAACGAAGAGAAAAATGTAATTGACTAGCATTTATTTATAGAGACTATTGCTTTATGTGCTTTTGAAGTTAATTATTCTAATCCTTAACCTTCTGAAATTGAAAAAGTATATTTAAAATAAAAAAAATTATTTTATTTTTTAATAAAAAGATTTGTTATTTAATGGAAAGAATGAATTAATCTGGAGGACATATCAATATTTAAAAATAAATTGGACATACAAGGTATATATATATATTTATTTAATTTTATTTTGTTTTTAACAAAAAAAATAATAAAAAAGAACAAATGGATTAAATAATGGTTGGGATATATTATAACCTATAAGAAATAAATATCCATAATTTTTTAATTAAATGAATTCTTAAAATATATATAGTATTTAAAGTTAATAATTAAATAAATAAAATAATTTAAATATGTTTGATTAAATTATGAAAAATAATATTATGTGAATACAAATATTTTATATTATTAATTGTATTATTTGATTATTTATATTATTTTGTCATTATAATATACATATATATTTATAATATTATATTGTTTTTATACAATAAAATCATTAAATATATTTATATTTATTCACTAAATAATATAAAATATATTTTTTGCCCTTAATAATTTTAAAGTGAAATAAAAACAAAAAATATATAAAAGAAACAATATCTTTAAAGCGAAATTTCATCAAAAACCAAAGTTGAAAAATGCAATATAAAACTATAATAAATAATAAATTTGACTAAATAAATATAACTCTAAACAAAAATAGCAAAATAAAAATAGATATAGTCTATATATACGAATAAATAATCAAGAATCAAATATTTTTCAATGATAATAATTTATATAGCAGATTAATTAAGTTGATTAGAAATATTCTTAAAATATATTATATATAAAAATTTCTAATTTGCATTATTTTTTATAAATAATATATATTAAAAAGAAAAGAAATATAAAAAATATATTTTTAATTAAAAATATGTTTAATATTTATTTATTAATTAATACTTTTTGTTTTTTTAATAAAAATATATTTTCTATTTATTTATATATATATATTGTTTAATTAGGGTTTTTTATTTTTTATTATCAATTAATTTAACTTTTTTTTGCAGTTTTTTATAATATTATTTCTTTCCCTTAATTACTTTTAAGCTTCTTTTATAAATATTCCTTATCAATTGATAAATTTATTTATTCTTTTATAATATTTTTAATAATAAAGCAAATATTAAATATATATTTATATTATAAAATTAAATTAAAATATAATACATTTATCTTTTTCTTGATGCATTTTTCTTTCTAAAGATTTTTCTATTTATTTTTATAAACTAAGCTTATTTTAAATTTATAAATTTTATTTTTATTAATCATATTATTGTTTTTACTTTTATTATTAATTAAATTATAATTTTATATCTTACTATTATTATTTTTATTGATAAAATTAAATTTGTTATGTTTATTACTAAAAAGGTTATTAAATCTTTGTTTATTATTAGTTTTATTAATTTATATTTTATTATTTTTATTATTAATTTACTATTAATTCTTCTTCATCCTCTTCATCATCTGTATTTAAGTCTTTGTATATTGTTTTAGTTCTTATTTCTTATAATAAAAATAAACTCATTCTTTATTAAAACATTTAAAAGCCTTTTATTATTTAATCCTCTGTAAAAAAGTTAAATTTTTAACTATTTTATTATATTTAAATATTCATATTTTTTTATTTCAATTGAATTTATTGTTTTTAAAAATAAATATGCGGTTTATAATATAATATTTATTTTTATAAAATATTTCTAAAAATTTGTTTTTTTTACTAAATATATATTTATTATAAAAAATTATTATTTCCTATTTATTATAAATAAATCTTTTTTTTTTTCTTTTTTACAAATAAAAAAATATAAACCGGAATGTAACAATAACAATATACATTAAAACAATTAAAACCCATAAACAGGAACCCAGTTTAAATATAAATAAATAAAAATATTTAATAATAATAAAAAAAAAAGGTTATATCATAAACAAAAGTTAAATTTTAAGATTTATAAGATGAAAATGGTTCCGCATATTGCATATATTTGGATAAATTTACTGGCGATATCAAAAAGCCAATTAAAGTGAAATAATACTATAATGAAAACGACGAATAATTAAAATAAAAGTCTAATTTTCATAGTTTAATAGTTGAATAAGGTAATTTTACAAACCGCGGTTTTGTCACAAAAGAGCAAAGATAGTCTATGTATTATTCTCCTGTAGGAAGTTTCGGTTATTTTATAATTACATAACCTGATAGACAAGACTATTTAAACTTAAAGCCTTTATATTGTGCTAGTATGTTTGAAAAAAGGAATATTCCAGCATCTACTTAGGCTTAAATTTTAAATGAAGTTGATGAATTTAAAGAAATGAAAAATATTCTTAGTCATCATAGAAAATAACCTATTGAATGTTATTTAAGTAAATAAGGAGAAGATAAAAAAGAAACTAAAAAAAATATTGATTTACCTATTGATGATGATAAATATATTGATAATGATACAAAAAATGTCAAATAAGCTCTCAAATCAGTAAAATAGGAAAAAAAATAAGACAAAGAATAATATGAAGATTATGGAATAGCTGATAAAGATGATAAAGAGGTTAGTGTTGATGAAGAGTAGTTTTAATATGATTATGATGAGTGATATAAATATTTTATTTTATTTTATTTTTTTGTTAAAAAAAAAAATTATATAAATTTTATTATTGTTTTTGGTTATTTAATTTATAATATGATTTTTTTTTTTAAAAAAAATTAATAAATATAGATGTTTCTTTTGTTTATTAAATAATATACAAACAAACAAAAATACTGAAATAATGGTATAAAACAAATAAAAAAACATTCAAATTTATTAAATAAAAAAACAAAAAAATATAATAAAATATATAATAATAAATATAATAACTATTATATATCTTTTATTAAAATAATTAATTTAAACTTTTATATAAAAAATAAATTTATATTAATAAACAAAAAAACATAGCAAGAAAGTCATTCAGAGTGTGAAATTTCAAGTTAAAAAATATCCTTTAAAATTGCAATATACTATAAAAAAATAGATAATAAAAAAAAAAAAACAAAAATACACTCAAAAAATATAGAACATGATTATTAGCACTAAATTAATTAAAAAATATTAGAAAATTATTAATTTATTTAATAAGGAAATTACTATTTTAAAGAATTATAAAATAGATAACAATATAAATAATAATTGATATAAGGTTTTAAATCATAATACGTATTGGTTTTAAATACAGAAAGCTGATGATGTTTTTATTTGGATTATTTAAAGATATTAATTTATTTGCATTATATTCCAAAAGAGTTACTAATATGACAAAAAATTTATTATTAGCAAAATAAATTAGAGAAGAGTTTTATTAAAAAGTATAATATATAAAATCATAATTATTTATAAAAAAAGTTTAAATATATTTTTTAAGAAACTAATTGGCATATTTATTTAGATATTTTTATATAAAAAGGTATAAACAATTATTTATAGATTAATTATTAATTAAATAAATTTAAAAAACAAAAAACCATTTTAAAAAAAAATTATAAAAATATTATTTTTCAAAGGATTTTTGGATTTTTAAATAAATTTTTATAAAATAAGAAATGAAAAAATCATATAGTTAGTTTATTATATTATATTTAATAAATATTTAAATAAATTAAAGAAAATAAAAAAAATAAAGAAAATATATATATATAAATATATAAATATATATATATATATATATATATATATATATATATAAATTAATAATTATCTATTTTACTTTAAAGTTAAAAAATATTTTTACTAGTTTTTTTAAGAATATATATAAAATAAACAATATTTCTTTATATTATCTAAGAAATTATAATAGAAGATTTTAATAAATTATTAAAAATAAGAATATAAGTAAATCAAATATAAAAAAGTGTTTTAATAAATAAAGATACTTAAATTTATATAAATATATATTTTATTTAAAAAAAAATAATAATATATAAATATATTTTAATTGTAAAAATCAAAAAATAAACAAATAAGAATTAAAATTATAAATGAACAATAATATATTACCTATTCCTGGTGTAAATACTAATATTTTACCTGGTTTAATGCAAAGTATTTAATAAAATAAAACAGCAAACAAATATATTAAAATTATAAATAAATAGATAATTAAGGTTAACCTCCATTTATAATGAATTAAGATTAATGTAAAAAATAAAATTAAAAAATTGAATATAAATAAAAAAATGGAATAAAATAATCATATAATTTAATAATAATAAATAAAAAACAAATAAAAAAAAATATATATATATAAATATATATATATATATATATATATATATATATATATATATATACATATATATACATATATACATATATACATATTTATGTGTTTTTTTAAATTAAAAAAATAGAATTCAGACCTTCTATGAGTATTTTAAAAAAAATAAAATAAAAAAAACTGAAGCATACATATTTTAACATAAAATAATATAAAAAGGTTAATTACAAGTTCCTGGATTTTAAAATAATTTTCTAAATCCATAAATTTCCCAATTATAGACTCCTGTGCAATGTAAAATAATATAAAAAAATTGATATTAGTATATATATATATATATTTAAAATAATAGCATCCGGAATATTTTAATTTTAACAATAATAAATGATGGGTTAATTTGGTCAAGGATTTGTAGGAGGACCTTCATAATTATCCCAAATGTAATAAATAACTTAAGTCCCTGCAAGTATACCAAATAATTCTTTATTAATTACTCAATAAAATGCATCAATACAAGCTGATTCTTAATGGCGAAAGCTTTTTGTTAATAACATACATTAAGATATTCCAGATGATTTTGTAAAAACACTTTTAGAAGTATAAAAAAATAAAAAAATTAATAAAAATAAAAAAATAATCAAAATAGACATAATATTTAATATTTATATAAAATAAGTTATTAAATATATAAATATACATATAAAAAAAATAAAAAAAAAGGAATGCGGTCCAATCGAAAAATGGAAAAGAAACAAAGACGAAAAAGGGAATTATTTAAAATTTGGTTATATAGAATACAAATACGTCGAAGGAGTATTAAAATGTGTTCGTTTATTAGACGGTTTTGACATAATGGATTAATAACTAGTAATAAAACCATCTTAAACAACCCAAAAATTTATCGAAGAATGGAAAAAGCTTAAAAGGAAACAATTCGAAGACGAGAAATTTTACGCAAAATAAAAAGAAGATTAAAACGAGGAAATTCATAAATTTATAAACTTCGATTAATTTCTAGAAAAAGATGACTAGAAAATACTAGAGAGAATTTAATAACTAATGAAGGTTTTGGATGAAAAAGTGGAAAAAGTCCGAGAAAAAAAAAGGGAAGAAGAAGACAGAAAACTACATCCGAGAGAAAGAGAAAGGGAAAGAATAAGAAAATAATAAGTAAAAGATATGGAAAGGAAATTCAAGGAAAAACTAAAAGAATGGCTAGAACATGAAGAAGATAAAACTAAAGAAAAAAAAAAAGAAAAAGATAGAGAAAAAGAAAGAGAAAAAATACGCTAAAAAAACTTCGAAAGAGAACTAAATTACACAGATGATATTGATAGACATAAATATAAAGGAAAAACAATGGAAAGAAGAAAACTTAGATAAAGAGAGTTGGAAGAAGATGAATAAGAAAGAAAAAAAGAACTTGAATTGCCAAAACCACCAGAACCTTAATTCCATTTACCAATGCCGGATGAAAATATGGATTTTTAAGAGTTTCTTATAGAATCCTTTTCCTAAAATTAAAATTAAAACTCGAATTTATATTAAAATTAATAAAGGGCTTTTACAATAGTAGAAGAAACAAACGAAGAATAAATTAATTAATAATAATTAAATTAGTAATAATAATAACAATAATTAACTATTCAACTAAAATAATAATAATAAATATAAAAATTAAATAATAATAATGAAATTAACGAAAAATAAAAAGATTTAGAAATTGATTAAGTTTTTGGGGCTATAGAAGATCCTGATGAAGATAAAAAGCATAATTTAAAAAAAGTTGAACTTCCTAAAATTGGAAATTCTAAATTTTCAGAAAATAAAAAGAAATATAGGATGTTTCGTAATAATTATAGAAGTAAAAAATATATATATATATATATAATATAAAATAAATATATATATATATATATATATATATTATTTTTATTATATAAAATAATATAGTTAATAAAATAATATTAATATTAATGGAAGTTAAAATTAAATTAATATCAATAATTTATAATCCTTATAATAATTTAATTTACTTTAATAATTATAATAACCATTTTAAAATTCGATTATTACTGCCAAAAAATAATTAACACCCGAAGAACTTAAAACATAAATAGCTGAAATTTTTAAAAAAATTCCAAATAATAAATAAGATCTTTATAATTATAATATTAATTGGACTTTTTTTGAAGCAGTATTTTATTATTTTTAAAAAAAATTTTGTATATATATATATAAAATTAGAGTAATTTATTAGAAAAGAAAGTAAGACCACATTTATGTAAAAAAAGTTAGGAACTTCTTGGTTAAGAAGAACCAGAGTTTGTTAATATGATAATAAAAAAGATATAAAGTAAAGAACATCCTGAAAAAATATAAAAGAAAGTCAGTAAAATATTAGATGAAGAAGCAGAAGGTTTCATTACTTCTTTATGGAAAATGATAATTTTCGAAATGCTTAAATACGAGAAAGAACTATAAATCTGATTTTATATAAATATAAAAATAGTTAATTAGAGTAAAAAAATATATATATATAATAAAAATGAATTTTATTATTTATCATTTTTTATTACTTTTTTTAGCAATAAAAAAAAAATTAAATTTTTTTTTCATCATATAATTTATATTATTTTATATTTTTATTTTTTTTATAAATAAATATATATTTAAATTATTAATTAAGTTAATTTTTTAGAAGATTTTATATATAAATAAAAAATTATTTTTATTAATTAAAATTTAAAATAATATATATTTATAATAATATATATATATATATATATATATATTTTATATTTTTATTTAAAATTTTTAACAATAATTTTCATTTTATTAAAATTATAAATTTCTCTTTATATTATTTACCTTTAAAAATATACTTTTAAATATTTATCTATTTATTTTCTTTTAATAATAAAAAAATTAAAAATCTTATATTACGTATAATTTTCTACCCGGAAATAAAAAATTAAATCATAATTTGTTTACTTCGGTTATATAAGTTGAATTTAAACTTTAAAAAATATAATATTATTTATAATAAAAATAAAATAATTATTAATAAAATTTTAAAAATAAAATATATTAAAATTCAAATGATTCATAATAAAAATCATACAAAACAATCGCTACTTAACTATTTTGTTAAATAATAAAAACAAGATATAGATTTATCTGATATTTTTTCTAGATATTAAAACGATTCTTAAATTTCTTCTAAATCAATAATTTAATAATAATCTTTAATAAAATAAAAAAGTGCTTTAGATTTAGAATATTTTAAAAAGAGATATTCTAATATTGAAAATATGGAAGTAGAAGACCCAGAAGAAAAAAATGAAAAATTAAAAATAAAAAAAAACTAAAATAAAATGACCCCAGACACATCTTTAGAAAAAATTAAATTCCTAGAAAAATAATAATAATTAAAATAAATTTCTGAAAAAAAATTAAAAAAATCTGAACAAAATAAACCAAATAATTTCTTATTAGATAAAGTAAAATTTTATAATTAAAACAAAAAAAAAAACCAAAAATAAATAAATAATTAGGTTATATATGTAGATGTAAAAACAAATGATGGTGAAAATATATCAGAATCTTTTTATCCAATACTAGAAAGCTTAGGAGCTTAAATAAAGAAAAAATTCTCAAATAAAATTAATATCATGATATGGAAAGGTACTCTTTTTTGTTTAAAAAAAATATATATATATAAATTATATAAAAAGATGGAAAAATTGATAATTATTAAAAAGCAATCTAAAATAATATATAAATAGCTAATTTATAATGGCTTGAATAGTGTTAGGAATAAAAAAAGTTTATTGAAATAAAAGACAAGTACAAAGTTATAGTATAATCAAAGAATTCGGAAAAAAGTTCTGAAAAAGTAAATAAGATATATGAAGATTACTTAAAAAAATAAAGTGGTATAAATAGTAATATAAAAGAGAATTAATGTGAATGGGAAAAAAGCAAAGCATACGAAGAATTAAATGAAAAATAAAAAAATAATTTAATTTAAAGTCAATAGGAATTACAAGAATATTATTCGAAAATAATCAAAGAGATTTATTTCCCGAAAATTTTTGAAAAAAAAAATGACCTATTTTTATAAAAAAAATGTGATAATTTTTATTCAGAAAATAACTTTTTTATTCCTAAAAATTAAAAGAATTCAATTGTTTTATAAAATAATAAAGAAATTGTTTTTTTTAAAATCTCTATTGAATCTTAAATTAAAAAAAAATCATAAAATAGTAATATCTACAATTTTTTTCCATAAAATTAAAACAATAATAAGTAATCTATTAGTAATTAATAATAAAATAATCCTGAAATATAAAAAAAAAAAAAATCTAATATTTAAATTGGTACAAATCTTTCAAATTCTTTACTTAAATTTGGATTTGATGTAAAGAAAATCGATAAAAATGCTTCTAAAACCCTATATATAGGATGTATAGATATGAACTCTTAATAACTTACTTAAACTTAAATTTTAGTTGAAAAAGTTTTAAATAATTAATATTAAATGAATACTAAAGTTAATTTCTAAGAATTTATGCTTATTTTAGGCAAAGAAAATATAACATAAAATGATCAAGAGAAAAAAATTAATTAATTGAAAATTATTTCAACACTTATTAAAGGTTTTAAATATAAAATTTTAACAAAATAATTTTTTTTAGAGTGGGGGGGGGGGGGGGGATAGTGTGGCATATCATTTTTAATTTTTTATATTTTAATTAAAAAATTTATTACATTATATATATATTTTTATTTTTTTTAATTTTTTGTTTTTTTAATATAAATAAATAAAATTAATTTTTATTAAAATTATAGGAAAAGATATTGTTAATTACAATTGGGTAGTTGATAGTTTAAAATTAAATATTAAATAATAAGTTCATAATTATAAAGAATATAAAAATTAGAAATTTGATAAAAGTAATTTATTTTTATATTTTTCTAATTAAAAATCTCCCTTTTTATTTTAGATATTTTCTCAAAACTAAGCTTTTTCATTTACTTATAATATGAAGAAAAAGTTATTATTGCTATTAAGAAAGAGTTAGAAAAAGTAATATAATATTTTAAAGGAAAAATAACATAATAAGAAGAGGCTAATTATATTATAGTTATTAAAAAATACTAATATTTTAATATATAAAAATAGATTAATTAAAAAATTATTTCTGACAAAGTATTTTTAAATATAAATAATATTTTTTATTATTATTATATTTATTTATTTTTAATTAACAAAAAATAAAGTGGTTATATGATTGTATTATGTTATAAAAAATACTTCCTACAGTGTCTTATAAAATATACTGATAAATAAATAAATTTAAAAGAAAAGAAAATAGATTTAATTAAATAAAAAACTTATTTTTTTATAAATTATATATTTTTTAATTAATATTGTAATTTTTTTTTTTTAAATTTATTATAATTATATATAAATTTTTTTAAAAATAAATATTAATTATATTATATTTTTTTAAAAAAAAATATTAATTTTACATATATTTATATATATATATATATATATATATATATATATATATATATTTTTGTTATTTTAATTTTTTTAATTATAATTTAAATTAATTTATATAAATAAAATTAATAAAAAATAAATAAATAAAAAAATTCAACCGTAAAAAAAAAAAAAAAAAATTAAAAAATAAAAAACAAAATAACTTTAAATACTCATATTAATGAAAAATATTGATTAAAATTCTCCTTCCAAAACATCATTCCATGAAGCTTAGAATGATATAAATTCTACCTAAATCCATTATTAATTATATAGTCCTCCCTAAGTATTATAAAGAAGACAATCATATGCAAAATTAATATCTCAAAAACCTATTATTCAATTCTAATAAAACTGTTAATAATAAAATATAATAAAATATAAAATAAAACATCATTAATCAATGCATATAAAATCACCTTCTAGCATAACTTCTTAAAAATTCATCTAATTGTCTCCTTAAAGATAATAAAATACTTAAAATTTAATAAATTAAAGTATACTCTAATTATAAAAATATTAATAATAATAATAGTAAAAAATAGTAATTTAATAAAAACCTTATTTATAAACTATAATAAATAAATAAGTTATATAATAAAGTATAAAGTCTTGCTTATGTGTTACTCCTTGCATTTCTAAATGTATTATAAAACCATAGATTCAAAAAGTTGTTTGCATTTCGCCTCTGAAATCTCCTGGAAATTCTAATCAAAACGAAAGCATTTTTATAAAATAAAATAATTTATTAGATTCTAAAAATATAGAAAAACAATATTAATCAAATAATTAAGAAAATTTAATAAAAGAATTAGAATCTTATAAAAATAAATGTTAACATTTAGTATTTTTTTTATATATATTTTTATGTATATATTTTTAAAAAAGGAAATATAAATTAAATAAAAAAATATTTCTTTTAAAAATAATGATTAAAATAATATTTAAAAAGAAAATTAAAATCTCGAATAAAAATATAATAGTACTTAAAATACTAATAAAAATACGTAAAATTAAATATAGTAATAATAATAATAATAATAATAATAATAATAATTAATAATAATTTAATCATTAAAACGGAGTTAATAATTAATTATTTTAATTATAAAATGAAGTTGGTTAAAGGAATCTTTAAATTAAACAATTGAATTTTGAGTACATATATATAAAAAATAATTTATAAAAATATATAATAGATTAGATGACATGAAAAGATAAATATAACTTTTATAATAATAATTAGATAATAAAGATAGAGATTATTAAGAATAAACTAAAAGACATTGTAATGATAAAGGAGATTAAGAAAAGAATTAACTCAATATATTAATATAATAAAAAGACAAAGAATTAGAATAATTTAAAAAATGGGTTTAAGAATTAGAACCTCTTAAAATGCAATAAATATAAATAGAAGATAATTTGAGAAAATAAAATATAGATTTATAATTAAAAAATAACAGAATTAGTATATTAGAAAATGAAAATTAATAGTAATAAAAAATCAATATATATGTATATATATATATATATATATACATATACATATATATATTAAAAAAAAGATTACTTGTATCAGTTTAAAAATTTTAATAAGAAAATACAAAATCAAATTTTGTAGATTAAGAAAAGTAAAATATTTAATTTATAATAAATGATAAAAACTAAGAAATTGATTACTGGAGATAACAAAACTAATAATTATAATAATAATTAAATGATATTAATGTAAGACTTTAAGATTCTTATAAATAAGAAACTTAAGTTACAATACTTTAAGGATAAATTGATAATTTTAAAGCTTAAAGTGAACAAAAAGTAGAATAAATTAAAATATTAAAAGAAAGAGTAAATTAATAGGATTAATAAATACTATAATTAAAAAATTTAGAATTCGAAAATGATTAATTAAAGTAAAAAATTTCAATTTTAAAATAAGAATTCGAAAATGTTAACATATAATTATAAACAAGAATTAATGACTTTTAAAAATTCTAAAATGAAAATTAAAATAAATCAATTGAATTAAATACATGCCAAATATAAAATTAATAATATTAATCTCAAATAAATATTCTTTAATAAAATATATAAGATTACTAAAAATAAATTTAATAATTATCTTAAAAATTACAAGAAAATGATAATAAAATGATCTTTTAAAATTAATAATTACAATAATATTAATAAAAAGTATATATATATATATATATATATATATATATATATATATATATAAATATATACATTTATTCATGTATATATATTTTTATATTTTTACATATAAAACTCCTATATTTTATATATTTTTTAAGGACATTGAATTAGAAAATTTAAAAATGAAATTTCAAATTTTAAAAGAAGACTATGAAAATAAACAGCAATAATTAATCAATTTATAAAAAATTATTTAATAATTTGAATCATCATAAGGTAAAGTTGGTGATTATTAATAATAATTCACAATATTAAAATAAAAGAATTAACAATTAGAAAGTTCTATATAAAAATATATTGAATAATTAAGTTTATTTGAAAGTTAAAGAAAAGACTTTGAAGAAATTTAAAGAGAATTTTAAAGCAATATTTAATTTTTGGCTAATGAAAATTAAAAAAAGGATTAAATTATTATTATGAAATAATAAGAAATTGATTTACTAACTAAAAACCAAGATTGCTAATCTAATTTTTAAGTCGAATATAATACTGCTAATGAAAAAGTGTAAATTCTTCTTGATGAAATAGATAGACTAATGGAAGAAAATAAAGTTTAGAAAAATGAATTAGAAATATGGAGATATAAATATTCGGAGTTTTAACCTTTAGAACATAAAATTCAGGATTTATAATGTATTATTGTCTTAATTTAAACTGAATTAGAATAATTAAGAATATCTTATTAATAAAAAGATGAAGAATTCGATAAATATAGAAAGTCGCATATAATATAATATAGAAATTGATTATTAAGTGATTATAGAAAATATTCATTTTATATTTTATTATTTATATTAAGACATTGTTTTTTTTTGTATAATTTTATTATTTATAGAAATTATTTAAATATAAATATAAATATAATTATTAATATATATATATATATAAATATTATATTTTGTTATATTTATATATCAAAAATATTTACTTTAATTCTTTTTTACTTTATTATAAAATTTTATATGGGAACTTAATAAATTAAAGAATAAATATATTAATCTATAGAAAATGGAGATACTGTAAAAGTTTTAGCTTTATTATAAGTAAAAATATTATTAATATTAAAATATATTTATAAAATAATCAGAAATATCCATAATATAAAAATCAAGAAATAACTGATGATTGTAAAAACACTCCTCTTACAAGAAGTGTTTGGAGAAACGATTTTTAAACTGTCAAATAGTTACTTTAAATCGGTTGTGACCCAAATATTACAGGTTCTAGAGGAATATCTCCTTTAATGTGGGCTGCAAAAAGAGGGCATTAAGAAATGGCTTAAATTTTATTAGAAAATGGAGCAAACATAAATCAAAAATCTAATGATATTAATTGTTTAAAATAAATTGTATTAATATTTTTATTTATTTTATATAAAGAATTTACTGCTCTAGAATGTGCGATTGTATTCGGACAATATGAAATGTGTTTATTTTTATTACTTAAAGATTTAGATTAATTATTGTAAAAAAAATAAAAATGTTTTAATAATAATAAAAAAGCAATTTAAAAAATCATGAAGTATATTAATAAGCATCAGAAGGAAAATATTTATCCTATGTAGATTATGAAGAATTTTTAAATTATTTAAAAGCAAGAGTTCCTTTTGAAAAATGTCCTAATTTTTACAAAAGGCCACCTCGTAAAAATAATAATAATATTATTAATTTTTATTAAATAATTAAGCACCTGTTTTAATTGATCCAGTAGTAGACCCTAGAGAACCAATTACTTAAATTATTTTGAGAAATTTAGAATTTAAAGATCCTCCATTAGTTATTATTTTAAAATATTATATATAAATATATATATAAAAATAATATATATATATATATATATATATATTATTTTTATATATATTATTTAGGTAGAAAGAAATCAATTAGATTTAAATTTATAACCTTAAAATAGTGTTATTGGTAAGTTTAGACAGATTATTAATGGATATAGCCCTTATCCGATATAATAAAAAGAAAATTTAAATAACGATGAAGAAATTGTTATTTAATTTTAAAAATAAGACTAGTAAGATGAATTATAATAATAAAAATAAGAATTTATAATCCATTAATTTAATACAGATTCAGTAAACTAAGATCATGTGCAATTTTAATGAAAATATGAAATATATTTAAATATATTTTTTATAAATTAAAAAAAAAATGTAAATTATAAATTTTAAAAAAATATAAATAATTATTATTAATTTATAAATTTATTTTTATTAATAATTTAAAGAAACTTTTAAATAAATCTAATATTTTTTTTTTGATTTCATTACTTTTTTCTATATAAAATATATTATTTTAATTTACTAAATGCAAAAAATTTTATTCAAAAAATACTAAAATCAAATTTTACAAAAATCAATATGTGAAAATCGGTAAAATAACATATATATTAAAAAAATAATAATAATATAGGTATATATAATATAAATTAAATTTTATATATAATTATTAAATATTAGATTATTTATTTATTATAACTTTAATCAAAAAATATTTTATTAAATAATATATATAAGTATAAGAAAATATTTTATATATTAATATTATATTTTTTAATAAAATAAAACAAAATTTTAATGTTATATGGATATAATAAACATATTGTTATATATAAAATATTATTATTAATAAAATAATATTTTAATAAAAATAAATAAAATTATGAATTTTTATAATTCAAAATATTAATTTATAATAAAAAAAAATTATAATAAAGAAATTCCAATTAAATTTATTGTCTATTCTCTTTAAACCCGAAAACTAAGTAACTCTAAACACTTAAATAGATATAGAAAAATTAATAAAATAGCCATAAATTTTACACCAACATCAAAACAAAAACAAAACTAAATTCTAATAATTTTATATAAATATCTCAAACGAAAATGGTAAGAGATAGTTTTATTTATTCCAAATAAAAATATATATTAATTTACTTAAAGAATTAGAACACTTTTTATCAAAAATTGTACTAGGCAGTTTTGAACAGATTACGAATATTAATATATAATTGAGTTAGTTAAATTATAATTAAAAAACTGGAAGTATTTAGCCAAAAATTTTTAATATATTAAAAATAAATAATCGAAAAATATTTAAATTAATTAACCAGAATAGATAACTTAAAGTTATAATTTTAAATTATAGGCACTAAGTAGTCTATTATTTGTTTTTAATTATAAGGGGGAAATCAGAAAATATGATTAAAATTATATATTTATTTTTAATATTAAAAAAAATTAAAAATTATATTATTTATTATATATTTAAAACAAAAAAATACAGATTAAAAGATAAAATCAAAATAATTAATTTAATAATTTTATCGATAATAACAATATTTACACTATCGCTAATATAAATTCTTTTAATAAATAATATTTTTGGGATAATAGAAATTTTTAGTATAAATATTATCTTTTTAAAAAATATAAATGTATAATTTTCTTTAAATAATTAATAAAAATAATATATTAATGTCAAAAAAATTAAAAATACATATAATAATATTAAAATAAAAACCAAATATAAAAATGATGTAAACAATTGATAATGAATAAAGCTTTTTATTAATAATATATTAATTGAGTAATGATAAAAATATATTATAATATTATATGGTTTTATTGAAAAACATAATGATATTGGTAAGATATTTTATTTTAATAATAAATATTTTTCTAACGAAAAAAATAAATAAAAAATGTGTTAATATTTATATAATAAAATGATTTATAGTATAATAAATAATCATAAATATTTTTAAAATATCTAAATAACTTAATAATTAATTTATTAATATAATGAATTTTTTCTTATGCATTATATAATAATAAATTATTTAATCTAAGATATTTATATAATAATTTTGTAAAATATAAATACTTAAATTTATTTAGTATTAAATGAAAAATGAATTTTATATATAAAAACTTTATTTAATTTTTATAAAAATATATTTTTGTTTTGTTTAATATATAATCTATATAATAGGTTATTTTATTTTCATTTTAGATACAATTCTGAGTTTTTTCTAAGTTTTTAATAGTTTTTAAAAACTCGCTTTTTAATATTTTATTTCTTTCACTATTTAATAAAAATTCGCTTTATTATAAATCTAGATTATCTTAACATTAATAAAAATATTACTAATTTTTAATTTATTATTCTTATAAAAGTTCTACTTTTTTTAATTAATCGACTTAATTTTACAATGAAAAATTATGGTTTAAATACTATTCATCATACTATTTATCTAATTATTATTTTCTTAATAAAATTTATTTTTTTTCAAATCTTGATCTAACCAAACTATTCAATTTTTCTTAAACTTACAAATTTTTCGAAGATAAATCATTTTTTAAAATATCGATTTTTTTATTAAATAAAATACTTTCATTTAATTTTTTATTTTGGATTTCTTCAAAACTTTTTTCTCTTTCTTTTTCAATTTATTTTATTTAAAAATTTCTCAATTTATTTATTTATAAGTAATCATTTTTTTCATTATTTAATATTTATTTTAATTAACTTTCTCTTGATAGTGATCTTTTAATTTCTTTTTATAATGTTTAGGAATTACAATCTAATTCTTATATTTACTTTTGATTTCTTTACTATAGTTAAATAAATTTTTAATATAAATGAATGTATAATTAAAAAATATATATAAATATATATATATATTTTTTTTTTATTTATATTTTATATTTATATAGATATATACATATATTTATTACAATATTTTGTTCTTAATAATGTTTTTTTTAATAACTATTCTTTTTATAAAATATGATTTTTATTTAATGTCTATAGATTATTTTAATGTGTTTCTTCTTAATTTTTTTCTAATTAAAACATTTCTTCGATTATTTCTTGTTTTTCTAAGCATAAATTATCATATTTTTATTTATATTATTCATTTTTTAAATATAATTAATGATAAGATTTGTTTTTAGTTATATTTTCTGTTTTATTTTCTAAATTTTGAATTTATAATTTTTTATTTTCTATATTCTTCTGTTAAATTTCATTTTATAAATCTTTTAATTTACTTTGTATTTCTTCTAATTCTATTTTTCAATATAAATAAAATAAAATAATATATAAAAAATAAATCTATACATTTATTTTAATTTAAATTTATTTTCTAAGTTTCTTTTTTTAATATTTCTATTTGTAAAATTTTATTTTTATTTTCATTTAATAATTAATTGATTTATTTTTCAATTAAAATTAAATCGTTTCTATCTATATAAGATGGCATTATTTTTTCTAAATTTTCCTGTTTTTATAAAAGTAACTAAACTTCTTCATTTTTATTATTTATTAATTATTTTATATTTCTTATTTATTCCTAAAGATATTCATTATTTTACTCACTAATGTTAATCTAATTACGTTATTTTTACAATTCGATTAATCTAATCTTTTAATTTATATAAATAAAATAAAAAATAATTGTCTTTTTATTTTATATTACTTCTTAATTTTATTAATCTGAAAATGTTTAAATATATTAATCTAATTCATATTTTAATTTTTAGTTTTAATCTTCTAAAAATAAGCGTTCATTTATAGTATCTGCTAGTTTATTTTACCATTTTTCAATTTGTTTTTCTTGACTTTCAAAAGGATAATTATATTCGAATTTTGTTTAAGATCTTTTTAATGACATATTAAAATATTAAATTAATAATTTCTTATAAATAGGTATTATAAAATATATTTTTTTAATATATAATAACCAATTAAAATAAAAATTAAATAAAATTCATATATTATTTAATTAAATATAATAATTTATTTATATTATTTAGATAAAAAAAAAATATTAAAAATTATATATATATATATTTTATGTGAAACTATTTAAATAATTTTTTTTTTTTAAAAAAAAATTATTTAAATAAAAAAAGATTAAATATAAAAAAAATGAGTGATAATAATATATATTAATATGATTAATAAATAGATAAGGAAACAGAAAATATAATTATCATTTGTACTGAAATAATGGAAAACATAGAATTAGAAATAGTTATTGAAGATCCTTCCGAATTTTACAAAGAAGATATATATATTGAAATGTTTAAAATAATGTTTCCATTTATGGAAATTCAAATATAAGAAGTACAATATAAAAATGAAAGCACAGCAGAAAAATTACAAAGTTTAATTGATGTTTTATCAAAGGATGTTTTAAGAATGGATTTAAGTCATATTAAAGGATAATCTATAGCAGAATACGACTCAAGGCATTTATTAAATTTCCTTTAGATTATATTAGAATTATCTAAATTATATAAAATGAAAAAAAACGACGGAAATAATGAAAATTCGTAAAATATAAGTAATCAAATATAAAAATATTTAAATATAATTTTTCGATATTGAAAATAAAATAAGGTGAAAATTAAAATTAATAAGATTATGACGATGATATGGTAACATATAAATATATTAATTATATAAAAATTTAAAATGTTTACAATAATTTATATAAAAAATTAAATGTAAAAAATTAAAAAGCTGTTTTAAATTTATTATTTTTTATTTATTGTAAATAAATATTTAAATTAAAATTAAATAAAGCAAAAAAGTATAAAAAAATAATATAAATTATAATAAATATATAAAATATATATTAAATTTATTTTTTATTAATAAAAATCATAGAAAGTATAAGTTTAAATAGACAGTGTGTAAAAAAATAGTAAAATATAAAAAAATAATAAAAAAATATATATATATATATAAATATATATATATATATATATATTTATATATTTATATAAGTTAATTTATAATATGAAACAATTCCTAAAAATATAGATTAAGTATAAAAATAATTACATGGATTTTAAAATAATAGTAAATTAAAAATAATAGTAAATTATTATAAATTTTTAAAATTATTAAGATGAATACGAAAATTAATTTCAAATGCATTAAAATCAATTATAAACTTTTAAATAACCATAAAATATCACTAAAACTAATTCTAATTAAACAGATAATTAGAATTCTTTAAAAAATTCATATAAAAAAAGTAATAATATAATGTTTTATATATATAATTTTTAATTTTATTTTTAAATATATAGATTAAAATTCGTTTTAAGTTAAAGATATTTCAAAATAATATTTAAATGGTATTATAAAATAAAATATATAAATTAATAAATAAAAAACATAAATATAAAGAGCATGATGAAAATAATGAATTATAATAGTAAGAATAACCAAATGATGATTTAGATTATTAAGATTTAACTGAAGAATAAAAAAATGATATTTAAAGAATTAAAAAATTACATAGTGAATTAAAGAATGAAGAAATAGATGCTACAGACCCTCGATATATAGAATTTTAGTAACTTTTATTAAAATATAATTTACCAGAAAATGAAATATAAGATGAAAATTCAAATGATATGGTTTTAATATAATAATATTAATATAATAAAATAAAAATGAAAAAAGAATATTGATATGAATAGAATAGTTTGTGAAACAATATAAAATGTAAAAGAATAATTAAGTTCAATGAAAAATTTTGGTAACAGCAATTTAGAGTCCTTGGATATTGTATTGAAGAATAAAAATTATTATAAATAATTCTTAAAAAATCATTTAAAAGAAATAAAATAAGAATAGAAAAAAGAGAAATTCAATAATCTACAAGCTAAAATAATCTAGATAAAAAAGATAAATTGCTAAAAGTATTAAATATATATGTATATATATATATATATATTTTTATATATATATATATTTTTATTTTATATTTTTTTTTATTAGCATGAAGATTAAATATTATAATAAGAATATGAAAACATACAAAAATCGTTATTTTATTAAATAAGAGATAAAAAAATATAATATTTAAGAAAAATGTATTTAAAAAGCTTTTTAAATTTAATTAATATAAAAAAATTAAAGACATAAATTAATTTTTGAATTAGAAAAGCAGAAAATTATAGATGAAAAAACTTAGTATATTGATAAAAAAAAATTATAAGAAAAAGAAACTAAAAACTAATTAGAATCAATTGAAAATGTTTTTAAAAATAAAATTGATATAATGAAGGAAAATTTACAAAGAAAAAGATATGAAAGACACATCGCTACAGTTGCATAAAGATAAGTAATTTTATAATAATTAAAAAAATTAATTCAAACATTTATATATATTTGTATGTATATATATAGGAAATAACAAAATAAGAAAGATAATTAAGAGAATAAAAGAAAAAATAAATATAAGAATTAAAAGACTTATGGAAATATGAAAAAGATAGATTTGATTTAGTAAATAAAGATAACGGAAAATTAGAATAAACTATTATTAATTTATATAAAAAAATTTGATATTAATTATAAAATTTTATTAGCCAAAAAATATTCTTTAAAGAAATAAAAATAAATAAATATGTTTTTATAAAAAGTTTATTTATTTTTTTATAAAAAAAATATTTTACAATTTTTAACAATTTTAATTAAAAAAATAATTTGTTTTTAAAATAAAATATAAAAAAATAAAATTAATAATTTAAAAATAAAAACAAATAATTAAAAAAATAAAAAGATAAAAAAAAACATATAAAATATGATATATATATATATATATATATATATATATATATATATATATATATATATATATATATTTATATATTATCATTTTTTAGCTTTATCACTATTCTACGGTTATGGTCCTGATAAAATTTTTTCTAATTCTTCCTTGAATCTCTAATTAGTTTTTTTGATAAGTTCAACTTATTCTTAATGCTATTTTTGTTCATTTTCTCTCTATTCTTGATCATTTATTTCAATTTCATCTATTTTTCTTTCATATTACTCTACTTCTTTTTACAATTCATTACATGCTATTTCTAATTATTTTTTTTTAGTTTCCATTTCTTATTTTCTCTATTCTGCTTAAAGTGCTTTTCTCATTCCATATGCAATTGAGCTTTCATATAATGTTTAATAAGCCTAAAAAAAAAAAATCATATATTTATATTAATATAATTTGTACTTATATAGTGTGTTTAATTTCATCTCTAACTCTAACTAATAAAAGACCTCTTTCGGCACAATTAATTGTTATTTATCTAATTAACTCATCAAAACATTATGCGTATAATTCTTCTCTTATGGGACATATACCAGTTTCTCTTGCTTATCTTTATTATAATTTTTTATCTAAACTACTTTATAATTCTAATACATCTACTCTAGTAGCAGGTGTTGCACTTACACTTTATATCCATAATTATTGCTTATCCATTGTATATTCTCTTGGGGGTAATATACTGTTTAATATATCTTCTGTTTAGGCATTTGTTATACTTGATGCTGCTTTTCCTTTTTATTTATCTAATTAATTTCTTTTACCGCTTGTAGATACTAATACTGCGTTAGCATATTTTACTAAAGAATTAGGAGTTGTTATATTTGATGGGGGTTGCATTTTTTTTATTTTTTTAATTTTTTATTTGTTATTTTTTTTTTTTTTTTGAAACTTTTTATTTTTAAAATTAATTAATTTCTTTTTAAAACAAAAAAAAATAAAAATAATTAAATAAAAAATAAAAAGGAATAATAAATAAAAACTATATACATATATATAAATTTAGAATACAAAAAAAAAAAGAAAGAAAGTTAATAATAATTAATAAAAAAAACTAAAAAAATACTTATAATAATAATTAATGAAAAAAAACTATAAAAATACTTATTATAATAATTTATAAAAAATAAAAAGAAAAAATTAAAAAACATCATTTCTTTGCTTAATTTTATTAATTTTATTAAGGTCCATTTAAAAGACTATCGAATTTATTTTTAAAAACTAAATTTCTATTTTTCTATTCTTAAATTTCCTATTAATGTTATAATTCATCATTTTATTTTTATTCTTCATCATTAAGTACAATATCATCTATTTTTTTTTCTAATTATTCCACTTATTTTTATAGTTCATTACATTCCATTTCTAATTATTTCTTTTTCCCTTCTGTTTCTTATTATCTTTATTCTGCTTATAAAGATTTTCTCATTCCATAAGCAATTGAACTTTCATATGAAGTTTAATAAGCCTAATAAAAAATACTCTATAAATATATATATATATATATAAAGTATTATACTTATATAGTATGACGAATTTCATCCCTAACTCTAACCAATAAAATACCTCTTTCGGCACAATTAATTGTTATTTATCTAATTAACTCATCAAAACATTATGCGTATAATTCTTCTCTTATGGGACATATACCAGTTTCTCTTGCTTATCTTTATTATAATTTTTTATCTAAACTACTTTATAATTCTAATACATCTACTCTGGTAGCAGGTGTTGCACTTACACTTTATATCCATAATTATTACTTATTCATTGTATATTCTCTTGGAGGTAATATACTATTTAATATATCTTCTGTTTATGTTTATATTGATTGTATTCTTCCTTTTGGTTTTTCTAATTAATTTCTTTTCTCATTATTTGAAACAAGGACTGCACTCGCGTATTTAACTAAAGAATTTGTTGTTGTAAAATTTTATTAGGATTGTTACATTTTTTTATATAAATTAATATTTTCTATTTATTTTTTAAATATTATATAAATATATATATATATATAAATTTATTGTAAATAAAGAATAATTATATAAAAAATAAAATTATAAATATTAAAAATATATTCATAAATTAGATTTTATTTCTCCTAAACTTCTTCCTTTTACATTTCCTTATACACTTAATCTTTCTATTAATTTTTAAATCCAACTTTATAATTTCTATAAAATAAAAATATTTATTATATAAAAAAATAAATATAAATAAATAAAATATTATATATATATATATATATATTTATTAATATTTTATAATATATAAACTTATTTATCATTAATTTATTATCCTTTAGCAGGTTTTAATTCAGATTTTTAAACTCTTGTAATTGCATAAGTTAATATCGTAGTACCATAAACAGTACCATATAAATTCATATAAAAAACAGCAATAACAAAACTTATAATCATTGTTAGCTATAATGTATACAAAATAAAATAAATAAATAAACTTATTTATTTTTTAATTATACTATAGTAGGATTCATATTTGATGAAATTCTATCGGTATTCATAATTGAAAGTGTTATGTAAATTAGCATAGAATTAATAAGACTTATGGATATATTTCCTTTGTTTTCAAAAAGTTCACCATATTCAAGTAATTCTTCAAATTCTTTTGTTTTATCAATTATTTAGGTTTAGATTTCTTTTCCTGCACTCATAAAATCTTTAGATTATAAAACACACTTTTTTTTATAAAGTTTTTATTTAATTTTATTTAATTTTTACATAAATATATCCATATTTTTATATTGGTTTTGTATATTATTAATGGAAAAGAACAATTCTCATTTAAATTTTTCTAAAAATATTTTCTTGTTTTAATTTCGAATTTTCAAGAAATTCTTAATAATTATTCTTTTTTTTTGTTAAAAAAAATAAATATATAATATGATTATATATACATCTATTAATTCTAAAGATACTCTCAACCAATCAAATAAAAATACGAGTAATGATCCTTTTAAAATTGTTCCTAGTCTATATCTAAAAATATCTTTTAGGATACTAATAATATTTAAATATCCTGAAGTCTTTTAATAATCAAAAATAACTAAAAGAGTAGCCTAAATAGCTATATATTCAGCAACAGCAATAAAAAAAGCCAAACACCAAATAAATCCAAAAAGAACTACAATACATGACATAAACTACATAAAACTAAAAGAAAAACGGTCGAAAGGTAAATACTCCCTGCCTATTTCGACATTTCCATTTGAAAAAATATTCAATTAAGTATAAAAAAACAAAACAAAAAATATTAAAGAAAAACTGAAACTAATAATAGGAACAAATTAAAGGAATTAAAAATTATCTATAATTAACGGAACTCCCTTTTTAAATAAAAATAAAATAAAATATATAATTAATTACTAAAAAAAAAAATTACTTCTAATATAAATATTTCTTACTTAACTCTTTTAAAATTATTAATAACAGAATAAAGTGTATAAATGAAACTACCGAAACATAAAAAAGATAACAATAGACTAGTTGTTGGAACTTCGTTTTCTGCGAAAACACTTCCTTATAAAATTTCTGAATTTTCAGTAACTTTAGTTCTATCCCTAAGATATAAAGTATAAATATATATATATATATATATATATATATATATATATTATATATATATATATATATTTATATATATATATATTTATATTTTTAATAAATATACGGTAATGGTACATTAGATAGATAATTATATTTATTAAAAAAAAGTACACCTAAGATTAGAAAACCTAAAGAGGAAATTCCAAAAAATAAAAAAAATGTATAATTAGTTTTATATTTTAAAAATAATTTTGAACTAAAACTTACAAAAATAAAAATATTTAAAAATAAAAATTAAATAAAAAAATATACCTAAAAATAAACGCAATACAACAAAATATTAAAATGAAACCTTTCATTTATTTAACATCATTAAGAAAAAGTTCAAATGTGCTAATTTTGAACGCATTTTTAATTAAATAATAATAATTTGTATTTTTCGGTAAACAAACTCTATCAAAATATATTCTACTATCATATATTAATACTTAATCTTCTTTACCTCTTTCCGATCCTAAATGTAATTTGCATTATTTTACTACTGAATTGACTGCACAATCTAATTTACTATCTAATTCTGGTTAATCAATTATTTACGGACATTCCTTTACACATACTGTTCTGTATAAATAATTAGAATCTGGAGTTGCAAAATATATATAAGGATATTCCTTTAAATCATCTATTCCACATTATCTATTATCAGGATCATATGGTTAAGATATTTTGTCAGAATTCCCGTATATTACTTGAATTATTCCTACTATAAAAACTAAAAAAAATATGATTAAAAATATGTATTTCCATATATTATCAGCTTCTTTTTGGACAGGTAATTAAAATTTTTTTTATTTTATCATTGAAAATATAAAATATTTTTGTTTTGTTTTTTTTTTTTTTTTTTCAGAAAATTATTTTTATTTATAATAAAATTCAAATTAATTATTTATATATTTAAAAAATAAATATGTATTTTTTTATTTTTATATATAAAAAAACAACAGTTTTAAATACATAAAATAAACTAAAATAAAATATATACATATATATATTTAAAAATCACATAATATTTTTTAAAATATTCCCTTCCCAAAGTCCCGAAAAGTAGCTTCCATCGATTTTATAAAAAGTAGCAATACCTTCAATTTTATCCTATTTGAATCTCCCTATAATTCTTTCCCCATTACTTAAATATAACTTACCTATTCCATCTTTTTTATCATCAATAAAATCTCCTTCATATTTAATCCAATACTCGCCTAATAAATTAATATCATTATCTTCAAGTCCTTTATTTAAACATTATGGAAATTCATTAAATAGGACCCCTTTTCCATTAAACATATCATTATTCCAATTACCTTTATAAGCCACATTTTAAGACGGGTAATATAAAATGCCATATCCTTGCATTTTCCCAAAAATCCACTCACCTTTATAAGAACCACCTCCCTTATAGAAAATTTAACCAATTCCATGTCTTTGATTTTTCAAAGTTTATCCTTCATAATAGGAACCGTCATTATATGCCTAAATGATTATATCTGTTTAATTTTGGAGTTTTTTTTATTAATTATTGTTGTAGTTTTGTAAAATTCTATCTTTTATTTTTTTAGAAGAGGATAATCTTTTAATATTATTTTCTTAATAGATATTAATATTTTATTAATTTTAATTTAAAGTATTATATAAACTTGAATATAGACTATAATTATTTTTTTAATCTTAAATTATATTAGAGGAATATAAATCTATTGATAAAATGTCTTTTCCTGAAAATCTATAAGCTGTTTCGATATTTTCATTTTAAATTTTCATTTAAATATATTTTTTATCCATATTATTTTCATTTATATATATTCTTTTATGATTTATTTATAGATTTTATTCTTTTATTTATCCATTTTTTTATGTATTTTTTTCATTTGAATTTTCTATTTAAATACTTTTTTCATTATTATTACTTATTAAATTGTTTATCTTTTTTTTTTCGTTTTCTTAAACTAAACTATTATAATCTACACTTTGAACACTTTTCAATAAAATAGAATATTATTATTTATCCGAATATATATTTCCACAAATGAACTCATTTTCTTTTTTTTAATTCAATTTTAATTTCTCTTCCAATTAAAGAAAATCAGGTCTTTTTTATTCGTCAATATTTATCATTTCTTTAATAAAATTAATAACATTTTGTTCATAATAAGTGTCTAAACTATCTAAAACTTCTAGAATTCCATTAAAATCAATTACCCCTTCTTAATAATTAAAAAAGTTATCCAATTTATTTAAATACCCGATTTCTATAAATAAAATTCCGGTAGTAAAAACAGCATCTTTATATGTATTATTTACACTTTCATCCTCACTTTTTAAAATTTTCTATATTTATAAAGGTGATAAATAGCCTCCACTAATAATATGTCCTCCTAGAATATATTAATATACCGAAATCGACTAAAATAGTCTCGGGTCGTTAATTTTCAGTTAATTTTATTCTGAAATATAAATATTATTAGATTTTATATATTTAATTTATATTTTTATTCTCTAAAGAAAAGCCATTACGGAAATTAATTATTAAATAATTGAAAAAAATTACTCTTAATTTAGTTTTTATTATTTCTAGTTTATTTTTCTATAAAAAAGTTCCGAAAATAAATCTCTATCGAAAAACTCAGTTATTAAAATTAATTTATGAGTATTCCCACAAAAGCCGATTTCTGTAAACTAAATATAAAATTTTATCTAAATTAAATTAGGATGACTCTATTCTTTCTAGTTTTTTTCATATATTTCCTATATTATCTATACTTATTTTTTATATTCATTTGATTCAGAATAGAAAGCTTATTTTAATGAATAAAGTTTATTTTCATCTTTTTTTAGACTAAATATATATAGTTCACCATATTACATGTGATTTTTTTTAAATTTAAATGTTATTAATTCTTTATATTTATCAAATAATTATTCTATTGGTATATTTATTTCTTCATTCTTTAATTTTTCTATTATTTTTACTTCTTTTTTAGTTAAATTTTAACCCATTAAATTAGTGTTTTTTATTTTAACGGAATTTAATTATATTTTATTTTATTTATATTTACAATATAAAAAAATACATAAATAAAAAATATTAAAAATAATAGAATTATAATATAAAAAAGTCTATTCATTTTTAGCTCTAAAAACTAATATTGTTTTCCTCTCCTTTATTCAAAAAAACTAAACTAACTACTCTTTCCAAATCACTAATATTGACTGGTTTAACAATATAATACTTCATTCCGTTTTATTTCGCCTTTTAAATTTCAGTTTAATGTCGATATGCACTACAAGCTGAAATTATACTCGGTTATACTTAAATACTATCAAAAAATTTTAAAATATCAATTGTCGATTAATATCCATCTTTAATAGGCATATCAATATCCATAAAAATAAGTTAGTATTTAAAACAACAATATTTATTTTTATTAAAACATTTTTTTTTGACCATTTCTAATGCTTATATTCCACTACTAACTTTATCATTTATAAACGAATAACTTTTCAATAATTCATCTAGTATATATAAATTAAAATCATTATCATCGACTATTAATATATTGGCACATTAGCATTATTTTATTTAATTGTTATATTCTATTAGTAATTATTTTATGTTAATATTTTCTTATAATTAATTATATAATATATCCTATTAATTTTTTTCATATAAACTAAATCTTTTAATATATTATTATTAATTCGGAATATTTCTAATGTCTGATTCTTAAATAGATTGTTATTAAATATTACAGTACTAGTCATTAAAATTATAATTATATTTATTATTATTATTATTATTATTATTATTATTATTATTATTATTATTTTTCTCTATATTTTTATTTTTATTTTATTATTTATTTTATTCTTTTTCATAATAATTCAAAAAATTTGAACATACATCTGTTTTAAGTTTTTTATATATTATACTCTCATTTTTTTTAGTATATTTAGGAAAAGTTTAATATTTTATTATTTATTTATATTATTATTATTTTTTATTAATATATTTTTTACTTAAAGTATTTAAACTTGATATCTTATAAATAGTATTATATGTATTAATTTCTCTATTTTTATTATAAATATCACTACATGATTTATAACTAGTATTTACATCCATATATTAGTTACTAAACTTTGAATAAGTTTTCCAATTCATCACTTTTTTTTAAAAAATTGTTTATTAACTATATAAAAGGCATCCTTCTTTACTCTAAGGTCTATTAATAACAAAAAACTTTAAAGAAGTTCCCACATTAACTTCACTTTCTACTTAAATTTTATTTTTCCCCCCCAAGCCTTAACATAAATAAAAAGTTATAGTAAGTCCTAAACCTGCACCTTAAGTATTTTAAATTTACTACTACATTCCAAACTACTAAAAGATTTTTTTCAAGTTACTTTTTTCAATACCACATCCTGTATCTTTGATTTCTATCGAAATAATATCTTATGAAAACTAAGCTTTCATTACATTAATATCAATATGTCCCTCTTATGTAAATTTCAAGCAATTACTTAATAAATTCAATATCACTTATCTTAATCTATCCGGATCTGAATTTATTATACTCGGAATATCTTCCTATATATTAACATTAATCCCTAGATTTTTTTATTTAGCCTAAAAACTGACTAATTAGACACATTCTTCGATTATATTTCTCAAGCAAAAATTCTAAAAAGAAAGACTAAATTACCCCAAGTTTATTTCTGCCAAATCCAGTAAATCATTGATTATATTAATTAACAAAAGATTAGAAGTAATTCCCGGTTTGATAAGTTTTTATTTAATTTCTTGGCTTATTTTTGGGTGTTATTCTAATATTTAAAGTACCTAAAGGCTACAATTAATCGGAGTCTTTAACTCATGAGATAAAGAGGCTAACATTCTATATTTATAGAGTTAAATATCTTCTGTTTTCATAAGAGAATTTAGTTATGAAGTGTCGAATAATTCCAGTAATATAAATTTGTCTTTTTTATTTTTTTTCTAGTTTTCTTATATATAGTAACTGATTTAAATTTATAAGTAATTGTTTTATTCATATTATCCTATTATCTAGTACTTATTTTTCAAAAAAAGAATCAAATTATCATTTTACATCAAAAAAAAAGGCTTTCTTCTATATTAAATATCACTTAAAGACTACATAGTAACCTTTTTCTTTATTTTAATTCTTTATTATTCATTATTTATATTATCTAATAAGCCTTAAGACTATAAAAATTAATAACTTTTGAATTACAATTCTTATTATTAACTAAGTTAAAATATAAAGTTTATAATATCTCCGATTTTCGAGTTTGATTTATTTATCAAATTTTTAATTGAGTGAGGAATCTAGCACTTTTTAAAGTTTTTTATTTATACTTTTTAACTTCGAATTTCAGGTGGTTACTTGTTTTTTTGGTTTCAATATTATTTTATTATTATTAATGACTATCATCTTTTAATTTTTCTTAAAAAATATTATCTGTTTCTGATAATTATAATTAAGATGTATTACTTTTTTATAATGAAGTACAAGAATGCATTTATTTTCTTTATTAATATTCGTTTATTTATTGAGGTTGCAATTTCGAGGTTGCTGTTTTGATTTTTTGATTTTTATTTAATTCGGATTTTCTTTATTAATTATAATCAAACATAGAGCTTTCATTTTTTGTTTATATAGGAAAAGAATCTATTTTTTAAACTATTTATTTAGGGCTTTTACAGTTTAGTAGTTATAGGATTTTCTTATTATAATAAACTAAATCTTTATTTTAATTCAATATAATTGTTCCTGTATTTATTATATTTAAGATTTCTATATCACCTTAAACTTTGATTTCTGGTGGATTTTTAATTTTTATACTCTAAAATAAATTACTCCCATTATTATTCTTTAAACGTTAATTATCCAATGAATTTTAGTAATTACCATTTAATATCTTATTTTTAATATCTATTTCGTATTATTCATTTGTTAAATTATTTTTTATAATTGATACATTCTATAAAGTTTCGACATTATGTGTATTATAATGTAAAATACTCTTTTTTTTCTATTCTATTATAGATTAATTATTAACAATTTCATAATTTTTATTTTCTTTTTTTAAAAAAAACTACTAAATATATACTTTTAAACTAAAAATAATAATTATTACAAAGTTTATTATTTGAATAATGGACTAATTTGTATTAATAATTATTCTTATTACACAATATAATATTTATAATAAAATCAAAACTTTATTTAATTTAAAACTATATAACATCTAATTTATTGTATCCTTTAAATATAGTATATATATCTAAAAAAATACGAAATTCTATTTAATATCATATATATATAATTCAAACATCATTACTAATAATGCACTTTTTAATAAATTTATGTAAATATCATTTAAAAATTGAAATTATTTATTAAAAAAATATATAACAATGCAATTAAAACATAATATTATCAATATTAAACGTTCGAATTTTATTTTTTCTATCTAATTGTTTGAAAATATTTAATATATTATTTATGTTACTAAAAATATAAATACAATAAATAAACTATAATCCATGTTATAATAATTTTTTTGCATTTTTAAATTTAAATAGTTTTTTATTTTTTTCTTATATAAAAATTTAATATTATAACTTAATTATTTAATTTATTAATAAAAATATTAAAATATTGGATTTGAGTAAAAATTATGTAAATAAAATAATTAATTAATTTTTTACAAATTTAATTTATATATTTAAATTATTAATCTTATCATTTATATATATATTTAATGAATTTTTTATAATATAAAATACTTTTTTTCTATATTAATATATACTTTATAATTATTTTATTTTTAAAAATATATTTGAACATTTTTTGTTTCAAATTAAAATAATTTAATTTTAATTTAACCATAATTTTATTTAATTTTAAATTATTAAAAAAGTAAACACGAGCAAAGCATGTAATCTAATATGATAATATTATATTTAATTTTTCATTATTTTTATACATTAATTGTATTTTATTAAACGATATATTATTATTTTTATAAAAGTTATATATTTTTTTAATAAAAGAATTTATTTTTATAAATTAATAGAAATTTAAAATCTTTTAAAAAAAAATAATGCAAAATAACTTAGTTATATTTTTTTTTTTATCAAATAAAAATTATTTTTAAAACATATCTATATTGACTAAGGCATCAATTTAAATAATATAATATCTATTTTTTTTCATTAAATTAAAATACTAATATTTTAATATTATATAATTTAAAATAAAATAATAAATTATTCTTTATATAATATTTTTAAATAAAATCTTTATTAATAAATAAAAAGTCCTTTTTTTAACAACCATTTTAAAAACTAAATAAAAGTTAAAAATTAAAAAATATATTTATTCTAAAAAAAAAAAAATTATTAAAAAAAAAAAAAAAAAGGGGGGGGGGGAGGCAAAAAGTAATTTATATTAAAAATTATAAATAAAAACTTATTTAATTAAAAAACAAAACAAAAAAATCAAGATCTAAAAACTTCCTTTAAAAGTTTCCAAAAATTTTTATCTGTTTCCATTTAATTTTTTATAATTTTAATGTTTTCTTTATATCTAATTATTTTATCATTATTTTCTTTTTATTTCTCCTCTGATTCATTTTTATTCTTCCCCAAATTATATATTTCATTTTCAAAATATTCAATAAAACAACTTCTTTTCATTTTTTCGCCAGAAGTAGTATTAGCCTTTACCAAACTTAAATGATAAAAAAAGAAAATACTTAATGCTAATCCCATAATAAAGCATAAAATAATCATAAAAACAAAAACTGTTTCTTTAAAGAAAATGAACTATAAAATATAAATATTTATATTATAAAAATAAATTAATACCTAAATTATAATAATCCATGAGCTTTCATAATATTAATTAGACCCAGGTATAGTAAATACCGCATTATGTAAATTCCTATCAAAAATGATTCCATAAATGCAAAATGCCCCTGCAATAAATCCATAAACAGTAAAAAAAGCATGACTACCAATAAATAATAGAAAATATTTATAATTATTTTATCCTACACACTATCTAACCCAAATACAATGGTGGTCAAATTTAGGTACACAAATATTACAAATTTTACAATGTTTAGATCTTGCTGGTCTTTTATTTTATTAAATAATAAAATTAAAAAAAATATTTATATATTTAAATTTTACTTTAATATTTTACATGTTGAACAGGTATTTTTTTTATCATATAGTATTTAATCATAAAAAGGTTAATATTTTTTTACATATTCTTTTACGTTTTATTAAGTTATTTAACCAGGAGGAACTGCACATATTAAATAATATGTATAAAAACTAACAATTGCAACTATAGGTAATGTTACAATATGTATATCGGATACTTAACTATTTGGAAAATGTACATTTAATCCATAAATCCAATATAAAATAAATCCTCCGACAGAAATAAGTAAATAAAAAATCTAAACTAAAGGATGATTTGTATAACATAAATAGTTAAAAAAATTAACACAAATATCAACTAAAATTATTAATTTTCCAAATTTATGTTTGCTATTGCTATAAAATAATTTATTTATAAAATATATAAATATATAAATATATATATATAAAATATATATATATTTATATATATAAATTTATTTTTATATTTGTAATATACTTGTATATTTATGGTATAATTCTGAATAATAAACGATTTAATTTTCCTAATATTGAATTTGAATTCGGGTCAGCGCAAAATATTATATATAATATTGCTCCAATTAATAATATTTAAAGGAAAAAAACTAATAGAGATTGCAATTCTATCATATTTTTTTTTCAGATATTTTTTATATTAAATATTATTAATAACAATTTTATATTAAAAATAGTAAATTTTTTTCAACAAAAAATTAAATTAATTATTTAAATTTAATAAGATTAAAATATAAATATTACATATTAATTAAAAATATATTATAATTTATTTATTTTTATTAAAAAAAAAAAAAAAAATTAAATATAAGAAAAAAAATTTAAATTAATAAAAAGTATAAAAAATTAGTAATATAAAAATATTTTTTAAAATATAAAAAAATCAGTAATAATATATATTATATAAGTTAGTTTTTTTTTATTTTTTTTTAAAAAAATAAAAGTATAAATTATTATATATACTATTAATTTCAATTAAAATAATTCTTCTTAAAAAAATACAAAAAATAAGGAAGAAAAAAAATAAAATAAATATAAATAAATACAAAATTAAAAAAATAAATAATCATATAAGTATAAAAAAAAAAAAAAACTAAAAATGAAATACATAACATATAATTATATACAAGGCAGAAATGCCGTTTAAATCTCAAAACCCTTATAATAGTTTAAGAAACTAAAAAAGAGGGTTTTGATACATATTTATGGGGAGTAATCAAAAAAGAAAATCGATCAATTTATAATAAATTTCAATTAATAAAATATAATAACCTTCTAAACTTTATTATATTAAATAAAATAATATTTAGAAAAATTTCAAAACACCCAATATACATCAAATTAATATCTTATTTCTTATATATCCTTTAATAAAACCAAAATTTCCATTCACACCTCCAAAAAAATAAAAAACCATTAAATATTATTGTATGATATGCAATAGATATCTATATACGTTAGAAACTCAAACGAATATAAATATGATTGCCCTCATTCAGAAATTGAATTTTCCTAGAACCATTAATGTTCTGATTTGTAATAATAATAAAATGTTACATTCTAATATAAAAACAATAATTATCTTAATTTGAATGAAAGTCAGGACTTTTTGGGTAGCGACTTTGAATATATTGCTGAAAGCATTTAGTCTTTAAATAATAATAAAGGGTTATAAAAATAATTATCAAGAAGTAGTTCTAAGAAATAATCAAATTAATAAGAAGAATCAACTAGACATTCATTAAATTCTTATGAAAAATTATAAATTAATAATAATACAAAAAATAATCTTATTTTAAATGATATTTTTTGACCAAAATAGAAAATAGAAACATTAAATAATTGAATAAATAATATATGTTATTTTTTGTATATATTTTTTTTTTTTATTACTGTTTAATTTATATAATTTAAAAAAATTAAACTATATTTTTTAATAAACTTATTAATATTATATGAAATTATTAATATTGTATATTTTTTTCAATATTTTTTAATTTTAAATAGATTAAAAAATATATAATACATAAAAAATTTAATTTATATCAAAAAAAAAAAAATATCATAAATTTCTATTTCTCTCATCTTATTTTTATTAAATAAGTGTTTTTACATAACTACCCTTTCTAGTTTTATTTAAACTACAATAATTTTACCAAGATCCATGTCTTCCCTCATTATAATTACGTAACATAAATACATTGATTTTATAAGAAGAAACATTTTAGTTTAAATTATCCACACTCAGTATTTAAGTAGTATATCTATGTAACTTTTACAATAAAGCAAAACTTTCTTCATTCTGTTATAATTTAGGTTTATCAATAAGTGTTTTAGGAAATTCAATAGGTGTCTTAATATATATAAATATTTTATTATTAAAAATATTATATATATATGTATAATACATAAGTAATATTTTCTTTTTTAGTAATCATTTTAAGAGGTAAATTTCTATTTAAAGTAAAATTGTAACTTTTTAAATTTTATCTTTATGAATTATTTATAGTTTTATCAACTAATTTTGGATTTTTAAATCTATCTATAGGCTTTCCAATAATCTAAGAAATCCATGCATTTATTCTAATTCTTCTATCTTCTAGAATTAGCCTTTATATTATTATTTTTTATTATTAATTTAAAAACAAATAAATAATTACTATTATAAATCGTAAAAATCATATCTATCGTAATAATCTGTTGGTGCATTTTTAAATAAAACTTTCATAAGTTCCCTACTAGATTATAAATTCTCAGGTTCCACTAAACTAATATTCTCAATCATTATATTAGCCGCATTTCCTTTTTCAATAATAAGTAAATCTAATAACTCTTACCTATTAATTTCTTTAGCTAATTCTTATATTTCTTAATCGGACAAAATATGATAGCAATTTCTCCCTCCAACCAAATGAGCATAACAATCACAATGTAATTTACATTTATCACATAATTAATTATAAATACTTTAAATATTCTTTTTATATAATATATATATATTTATATATATATATATTACTTCCTCATCTAATAATCTAATAGCCGGTACATATATTTTACTTTTCATTTTTGAACCTTTACTAGAAGTACTCATAGACATTTCCAATCTTTTAATAGTCTCATCATTTTTAGTTGAAATTCCTAATCTTTATTTCTACTCAAAGATTTTTTCCTATCTAACCAAATCAAGTAGTTCCTTCCCTAATCTCGAACACTATACACAAAAGCATTTATCGACTGAATGATGGTTCAAAACAGGTCCATATAGGGCAAAAATATCTAACCTTTCATTTATATTTACATGTTCTAAATTTGGAGGAAAAATGAACTTCTATATAGTTTCAATAGTTAATTTCATTTTTTCGAATTTAAAAACAGGTATTTTTTAAGGAATTGGGAATTTAAAAATATCCCTTTCTTTATTTGCGTCTATCATATTATCACTTCCATGTAATTCATTTTTTATTAAGGATTTACCATATATACTTCTTAAACATTAAGGTTATTCTTTCTTTTTTTTAATTTTTATAATTCTTTTATAAAATTATGTTATACTTGTGATTTCTCTGGGTCTTTATTACCTATTATTTTTTTCCATTTTTCTATTGGATTTTCGGTCTCGTGACATAATAATAAAACTACTGATTCTCCTGATTACATATAACTTAGTATATCATCGAAATATGGTTAGTCTTCATGTTTGTAATATAAATTTATTACTTCTTCTTTTATAAGTTCCCTTTGAATCATGTTTTTTATTGTAAATCCTTATTCTTCGATTACATCTATTATATTTTGTATCTTAGTTTTTTTTTTTATTATTTATAATAATGTGATTTTTTGTAAAATAATATACATTTTTTGTATATAATGCAGTATCTGGTTTTATAATGGCAACTGTATAAGCTAAATTTTCTTGTTTTGGATTAAAATATTAATCTTATAAAATTGACATTATTTTATAAAAAAAAACGAAAAGTTTTAAATTATAAAAAAGTTATAAAAAACTTATATATATATTAAAAAGAAAAAATTAATAAAAAATTACAAAAAAAAAGAGATTTTTTTGTTAAAAAAATAAGAATATAGTGTATATATAAATAAATTATATACATTAAACTAAAGGATTATAAAAAACACTTGTTTAAGAAATTGAAACTAATATAAATATATATATATATATATATATATATATATATATTATAATTATTTATTTTAAAATATAAAATAATTAAGATTATTAATAATATTTTTAAATTTAATATATAAAATCAAATATTGTATTCTATTATGTATATATAATTATATTATTTATGAAAAAAAAAAAAAATTAAAATAAAAAAAAACAAAATAAAATAAATATATATATATATATATATTTTTTCTTTTTTTAAAAAAAGTAAATATAATATCATCATTTTTTAATAGCCTTAAATCCTTTTCCAGTAGCCTAAACCCTCATAAACTAATGAGGAGTACAAAATAGTTAGAAAGCACTAACTTCTTGTTGACCACATTTCATTAATTACCCATTATTGTCCTATTATATTTATTACTATTATTAACCATTTTAAAGCATTAAATTATTCTAACCTTTAATCATTCCTTTTTAAATATCACTTCCGATAGCGTTTTTTCCTAAATTATCAATCATTTATTCATATCGATCTGCTCCAACTGCTAATTACTATTTTCTTATATATAAATTAAATAGAAATCTTAATTATATAATTATTACTTAAAAACTAGTCAATCCTCCTGTATTAACTGGTAGTCCTAATTCCGGAGTTACATTATTTAAATCATCTACAGGTTTTCCCATTTTAATTCTCTCCTATCTAGTTTCAAAAACAGTAATATGATCACTATATTTTTAACCACAAGAACATGCTAATGTACTTGTAAATTCTATAGAAAAAAATAAAAATTATATAATTATTATTTATTTTTATTTTACATGAGCATGCCTTGCATTTACTACATGTTTTTTTAAGATTTTAATGATCTAAATAAGAATGTTTACATGAGCATTTAAAATCCTAAGAACCATATATAGGGACATATTAAAAACATTTACATTTACAACCTCCTTCTCTGCAATTTACATTCGATTTGTCTTTAGGCTATAAATATTCATGATCTTTAAACCTATGATCACAAAAGCATTTACTTTAAGGACCTACAACTTTACAGTCAAGACCAAGGGAATTTTTCCATACACAGTATACTCGATTTTTAGCTTTTTCGCGATAGTTTTACTTGAATTCTTCGAATTCTTACTCAGACATCAATTTACCGTTGTCGTAGCCACCGACAAATTGTTAATATTCGAGATAGGCTTATACATGTTTTGCTTAATTAGAGTTAATAACAAGTCTTTCTGCCATTTTTATTTTTTTAATTTGTTTTTTATAATTAATGTATATATTATATATTTTATAGCTTTTTTTTTATTTATATTTATTTATTTTTTGGATTATTTATTTATTTTTTAGTTTATTATTTATTATTGCATTTTATTTTTGTAAAAAGAATTACATTATTTTGATATATGATTTCTTTTATATAATTTTTATGGATTTATTATTGATTAAATAATTAAGACTATTATTATTAATAAAAACATAAATTTTAGATATATTTTAATTTTTTTTTATAAGATATATAAACAATGTGTTTTATAAATTTAAATACTTTTTTTTAAAAAAAAATAATTAATACTTGTCAATTTATTTATATTTTTTATCCGTTAATAAAAAAATAATTTTTAATATTATTATTGTATAATTTTTCTCCCAAACCATATTTTTTTTTATATATTATAAATTTTGGCTTATTTCTATTATATGATTTGATTGCTTATAAAAAATTAAAATTATATAGGCATTATAAAAAAAAATGTAACAAATTATATATATGTTTTATATATATATTTTATTTTTTAAATTAATATAATATAAAATCTATATAATAGAATAGATTAAAATAAATATTAAAATGCTAAACAATTAAATAATAAAAAATATAAATTTACTTTTAACAACATATTAATAAAAAAAAAAAAAAAAACCAATAAAAAAAAAAAAAAAGAATATAAAATATAAAAAAATTAATAAAAAAAAATATTAAGAAAAAAAAAAATATATATATATGTTAAGTGAAAACCAAACATGTATAAATTTATATCCTTAAAAATAAGATAATCTAAATATCTAAAACATCAAAAACTCTTAAATTCTTACTTCACCAAATGACTTTAATAATTAAGAAAATATTCAAATAAAATTTCCTGCAGATAATATATTACCTTGTAATATAGGAGGAATCAAAATAAAAAAGTTAACATGGAATGATTTTAAAGGTAATCCAAACAATAATTCCAGATGGAGTGCCCATATATATTGGGGAATAGACTATAAATACGAAGTTATTTAAAAAACTGGTTTACATAAAAAAGTAGTTTATTAATTAAAACCTAATGTAAAAGTATTTTTGAGGAAAAATAGCTGGACGAAAAAATAAATTCCTCATTTATTAAATCATGAATAAGGGCATTATTTAATAGGGTGTTTATGTGGTTTAGAATTTTAGAAACAAACTTTAAATTTTAACTTTTCGAATAATTATTAGTTTGAAATTTAGAGATTATTTGAAAATGTTTTAAAATAATTTGTTAACTAAGAAAAAATATACGATAAAGAAACTAATCATAGATTGAATTTTGAAAAATAAAATGAATGGGATAATAAACTTGTAGAATAATTAAATTAATATAATAATTATTTTAATAATTATTTTAAAATTAAAAATAACTGAAAATTTTTATGAAAAAAATTATTTTGACTTTTTTTTTTTTTTTTTTTTTCATATTATTGTTTTTAAATTTCTTTTATTTTTTTTTTTTAATAAATTTAAAATTTGTTAAAAAATTAAATTTAGCAAAATTTTTCATTTAAAAAAAATATAAAAAAAATAGTAATTTTATTTAAATTTAACTATTATAATAGTAAAATAAATATTTTACTTGACATAATTATAATTTAGAGCAACAAAAATATTATTTTTTAGGAATATATAAATTTAAATTAATTTAATTTTTTTTTTAAATTTAAAAAATATATTTAATTAAATTAATATTTTTTTAATAATTATATATACAAAAAAAATATATTAAATCAAAAATAAATTAAATTTAATAATTTAAAAATAATATATTTATTAAAATATATTTTATAATAATTTTTAAATATGAATAAATTATTAGCAAATAAACAAATATGAAAACAGTTTAAAATTAAATAATTAAAATTCTTTAAATTATTAAAATTTATTAAATAAAATTAATATAATCATTGTCTAATAATATAATATTAGTCTTATAGTAAATATTATATTTTATAAAAAATAATAATTAAAAAAGAATTTATAAATAATATAATTATATAATAAATAAACATTTATTTTTTTAATATAGAAAATTATATTTAATTTTTGTTTTTGTTTATATTATATAATAAATTAAATAAAAAAATTAACATTATATATATATATTTATGTATTATGTAAGCAATTGAAAAATATCAAAATATCAGAAAAATAAAAATAAAATAAAATAAAAAATAAAATAATTATAAAAAGATAAAATATATAAAGAAAAATTAACATTATCAAAAGAAATTAAAATAAATTAAAATAAAAAAGAAAATAATTTATGAAATAAAATATAAATAAAAAATAAAAAACCAAACAACTCTTCAAAAAAAAAAACTAAAAAAAAAAAAAAAGTAATATTATAAAATCTTCATTTATATAAATAAAAATAAAATAGCAAAACAAATAAATCCATATCTAAAAAAAAGTAAACTAAATGTTGACAAAAATTATTAATAGTACCTAAAAGACATTAAAATTATATTTGCCTAAATACAAATTCCATAAAACACCTCATTTAAATTCGGAATTATCTAAATTTAACGATTCTTTCGTTGCCGGATGTAACGCTGAATATTTAGAGTAAGTATTCAACTAATGGATAGAAGACTCTTCTTCAGTCCACTCATCTTTCGATTGTTATTTCAAGAATTTAATCAGAGGAGTTGATGCATAAAATGCATTTTAACTTCCACCTTAAGATGTAACAAAACCTCTGCCTATATCAACTGATTATAGTTTAAAATTAGTTATTTCTGATAATATTAAAGCTAGATTAATAATAGATGAATATCGTCGAAATGGACATGTAGTTGCAGATTTAGATCCTTTACGTAATAAATTTATTAATAAATAAAAAATAAATATATGAAAAATTAAATTTAAATAAATATTTTTATAAAAAAAATAATAAATAAATAAAAATAAATTATAAATATTTATTTAATAATTTTAAAAAATATATATAAATAAATATTTTTTTAAGTATTTATTTGATTTTTAAATCTGTGAATAATATAATATAAATATATATATTAATATAAAATTATTTATATTTATTTATTAAATTTATTATACAATTATTTTTAATGTAATTAATATTTATTAAAGAAATGAAAGACGAATTAGCAAAAGCTGGTAAATCTAAATTTTAAGTTGAACCAAAATTAAGTCATAAAGATTATGGTTTTACTGATTAGGATTTAAATAAAGAAATATATATAAAAGATAATAGAATTTTAGGTATTACAAATACTTAGAAATCATCTTGGATATTAAAAGATTTATTAGATACTTTAAAAAAAATATATTGTGGAAAAATAGGTTATTAATACTTACATTTAAGCAATATTGATGAAAAAAACTGGATTAGAGACTAAATAGAAAATCATGACTCTTTTAAGCCTACACCTGAATAATTGAGAAAAACAGCTGACCGATTATGCCGAGATTATTCATTTGTCGAATTTTTAAACCATCATTTCAGTACTTCTAAGCGTTTTGGTTCTGAAGGATGTGATTCTTTTATATCTGGTTTAGGCGCTTTAATAGATCATGCTGCTGAAAAGAAGGTAGAGCATGTTGTAATTGGAATGGCTCATAGAGGGAGATTAAATATGCTATTTTCAGTCTTAAAAAAGCCCGCAGATAATATACTTGCTGAGTTCTAAGATATTAAAGTAGCTGAATACGATGAAGAGAACTGGGGTAACTCTGGAGACGTAAAATACCACTTAGGAACTACTCACGATAAACACTACGAAGAATTAAACCACACCATTAGGTTAAGTATATTAGCAAATCCATCCCATTTAGAAGCCGTAAACCCCGTTGTTTACGGTAAATTAAGATGCATATAAGATGCCATAAAAGACAATTCAGGTGACCGATCTGTAGGCGTATTAATACACGGTGATGCTGCTTTTTCGGGCCAAGGAATAGTTTATGAGTCTATATAAATGCACGATTTAAAAGACTACGATAATGGAGGAATTATTCATATAGTAGTGAATAATTAAATTGGGTTTACTACATATCCAGGAGATTCGAGAAGTACTTTATATTGTACTGATATTGCAGAAACAGTTTAAGCTCCTATTTTTCATGTAAATGCAGATGAACCGGAATCGGTTGATGCTATTATTAGATTAGCGATGGATTATAGACATAAATTTAAAAAAGATGTAGTTGTAGATATTATTGGTTATAGAAAATTCGGGCATAATGAATTAGATTAACCTGCTTATACATAACCTCAGATGTAGAAGATTATTAATTAGAAAAAACCAGTTTATTTACAGTTTATGGAAAAAATGTTAAATCAAGGTATTATTACTAAAGAATAAGAAAAAGAAAGAAGAGATTACTATGAAAAAATACTCAAAGAAGCCTACGCGAATTCAAGATAAGAAAAAATTTCACCAAATGAATGGTTAATAATCTTATATATATATATATATATATATATATATGATATATATTATATATAAGATATATATATATATATATTTTAAGTTATATTTATTTTTAGATATATATATTTTTTAGATATATATATATATTTTTTTATATATATGTTTTTTTTTTTAGGGTAATGAAACCTTGGGAAGAAATTAGATTACCAAAATTATGGGGCAGTGTAAAAGATACAGGTGTAGATATAAACGTTTTAAAAGAAATATCCTAAAAAATTAACACACTCCCTTCAGAATTAAATGTACATAAATAAATAGCTAAAGTATATGCTTAAAGAAGAGATTCAATTGAAAAACTGGAAGATAAAATAGACTTTTCAACTGCAGAATAATTAGCTTTTGGTTCTTTGTTATATGAAGGATATGGTAATTATGAAATCTTAGATAATATATATATATATATATAAATAAATATATATATATATATATATATATATATATATATATTTAATATATATATTATATATATATATATATATACATTAAAATATATACATATATATAATATAGGCTTAAGAATAAGTGGTTAGGATGTCGAAAGAGGTACTTTTTCATAAAGACATGCTAAAGTAAATGATTAAAAAGTTGATAGATAGAAATATTGTCCTTTATCTTAATTATTAAGCGAATAAGATAGGTAAATAAATAAGTTGACAATTGCAAATTCTCATCTTTCTGAATTTGGAGTTTTAGGTTTTGAATATGGTTATAGTATAGCAAACCCTAATAATTTAGTAATATGGGAGGCCTAATTTGGTGATTTTGCAAATGGAGCGTAGATTATGATTGATAATTTTATTGCTTCGGGTGAATCTAAGTGGAAATAATAGACTGGATTAGTAATTAATTTACCTCATGGTATGGATGGCTAAGGACCAGAGCATTCTTCAGCTAGAATGGAAAGATTTTTATAACTTTCTGATGATGATGTATAAAATTTCTTGCTTAGGAAAAATAGATTGAAAAAATAATCCGTAGAAATTAATCTATAATTAATTTATTGTAGTACTGCAGCTAATTATTTCCATGCCTTAAGAAGATAGATTAGAAGGCCTTTTAGAAAGCCACTTGTCAATTTATTTTCGAAGAGATTATTAAGATTCTAAGGGGTACTTTATGCTTAAATAATAGTATATATATAAAAAAAAATATAAAAAAGGCTACAAGTTCTCTATAAGAATTTAAAGAAGGAAATAGATTTGTAACTGTTTATGATGAGCAATACCCTAATGATATTGAAGAGTTTTCTAAAATTAAAAAGGTAGTCTTATGTAGCGGTTAGGTTTATTATGATATTTTAGAAAGAAGACAATAAAATAAAATATAAGTATTTTTTTTTAAATATATATATATATAAATATATATATTATATAGGATACATCTATTATTAGATTAGAATAATTTTCTCCTTTCCCATATGAACATTTAAAAGTTATCATTTAAAAATATAATAATGCCAAGTTTATTTATTGTTAAGAAGAACATGAAAACTAAGGTGGATGGATCTTTTCTAGGCCAAGAATTAAAGTTGTTTTAAATGAATTATATAAAGAAAACAAAATTAAATATACTGATTTGGAATATATAGGAAGACCTTCTAATTGTTCATCAGCTACTGGTATTATATATATATATTTGATTATATAATATATATATATATATATTATATATATATTTATATATATATATATTTATTATTAAAAGGATCTAATTCTAAACATAAATAAGAATTAAATATACTATTAACCAAATTATATGAAAAAAATTGATTTTTTTCATATATATATTTATAAATAATATATGATATAATAAAAAATATTTTTTACTTTCGAAAAATTATAAATAAAAAAAATATTTTATGATTATTTTAGAAAAATAAGTATATAAAAAAATGTATATATAAATAAAAAAAAGGTTTTTTTTATATATATATATATAAAATATTTTGCTTTTTAATTGTTATTTTGATCTAACTAATAAACATTTCAATAAACCTAATTTAAAAATTAAAAAATAAAATAATAAAAAAAAATACATTCTAATTTTATTAAAATTTAATTTTTTATCTAGCTTCCTATAATATTTTTTGAATATATTAATCTTTATCAATATCTCTATTATTATCAATCAAATTATTATTATAATTATTTGTTTTTTACCCTCTTAAATTATTATTAGTATTAATCAAATTACTATTATAATTATTTATGTTTTACATACTTAAATTATCATTAGTATTATATATGCTTTAATAATTTAAATTAATATCTTTTTTTTTAAGATTATCTTATTCTAAATTACCCTAAAATTTATTATTATCATTATTATTATTAAAATAACCATTATCATTATATAATGAATTTTATTTCTTACATTTATTTTATTATAAAGGTGAATTATCTTATTATAAATTCTAATTATTTTTGAAATTTCCATAATATTATAAATTATTATTTTATCCTTTAAAATCAATACTTTATGAATATCTATTAACTTTTTAATTAAGACCTTACTTTAAAGAAGAAACATAATTTTAACCTAAATTATTATTATTATAATTTATTTAATTAAAACTTTATTTTGATTATAATAGTCCATAATTACTCCTAGGAGATTAAAGTACAGATTTTGATTAAAATATATCACAGTTCTTATAGCTTTCATCATTCTATATATTTAATAAATAAAAAAAAAATTTAAAATAAAAAACAATTACAAAAAATTAGCTTTAAAAGTTCTTTTTAAAATTTTATTAAAATCCTTCTCCCCCATATTTTTTTATAGTTTCTCTACTCATTTACAAAACAGCATTAATTTTTAGATCTAAATCATTTTATGGCGTTTAATATATCTACTAATAAGTTTTCCTATCTTCCTAAAAACAATTATTTTATTATTATAAATAAAGACAATTATAATTCTTATCAAAGTCTATAAAACTGATTTTTTTACTAAACTAAATTTCATTCAAAAAGTTTATTTTCTCATATAAATTCTCTAAAGATATCCTTTTATCTTCATCCTTTATTAACATCTCTTCCAAAAACTCAACTAAAATAAAACTTCCTAAACTTAATTTAACTCCATTTAATATTTCCTTTAATTTAGGCCAGTTAATCTCATAAATTTCCTTTAAATAACATTCTTTGCTTACGTTTATTAATGAACAAGCTTCCAATACACTCATTCCAATTGAAAAAACTTCATTTTTATAAAAATCACACTCTGCTTTTTCACATAACTTTTTCAAACTTTCAAGCATTTAAGGAGAGACATAAAATTCATCTAAATTTCCATAAAGTAATTACTCATAAGCCTTTAAATTTTCCTTTTCTTTTAAATACTCTCCTCCAACTTTTATTTCGCCGGTATTTTCGTCCAAAAGGATATTAAAAGGTCTTATATCAGCATGAATAATACCATTTTTTTTCAAATACAAAGACGTATTAACTAAGGTTCTCAATAAATATAGCATTTCTTATTCTTTAAAATATCTATTTTCATTTCTTCTTTAATTAATTTCGTCTTTGAGATCTTTTTAGTAATACTCAAAAAAAAAATTAATTTTGAAAAAACTCGAACAAAATTCTTCTTATTTTAAGCAATTAAAATTCTGCATTTTTACAATATTAGGATGATCCAATTATAAAAATTTTTCGGAATATTATATTATTTTCTCACATTTTTCTTCACTAATTATAGTTTATTATTACTCAAAGTATTATTTTTTATTATTTTAGGTATCGATTGGAACCAATATTTAACCTTATCCATAATGTGGGTCATTTATAATTTCTTTTTTTGTAAAATCTGATGGATTATATAAAGGTTAATTTAAATTTTTTATATCTTCTGATTATTGTTTCCCATTTTTATTTTATTATTTATATATTTATTTAACAGTAATAAAAATAAAAAATTATATATTTTATTTACAAATATTATTTATAATTTTTAAAATATATATATAAAATTATTTAAATTAATTTAATTTTATATATATATTATTGTATATTTTTTTCATATTAATATAAATAAATGGGAAATAAATAATAAAATAATTAACTAAATAATCTTAAAAGTAAAGATTCTAACTAAGATCTTGCAAGTGATAGATAAAAACAAACTTAAAAGCACTATTAAGAAATATCTGAAGAAATTAAAAATATGTTTACACCTCATTATAATCTATATTAAGTAATGTTTATTTCTTTATGCATATATTTATATATATATATATATATAAAATAAATAAAAAGAAATAAATAATAGATAGAAAAAATAAAATGTTTTGAAAAAAATAAACTTACTGAAAAAAATTATTAATAATGTATTAATTAAATATAATAAAAATATTAAAATGATGTTCGGAAGTTAAAATCTTTATTTTAAAAAATTGACGTAATATTTTTATTTATATTATTTTATATATTTACCACTTATATTTATGTATTTTTTTATTTTATATATAATAAAAAAAAAAAGGAAGAAGATAGTTAATGCAGATTTAGATGTTAAAAAAAAAAAACAGGAACTGAAGGATTTGTTGAATGTATGAGAGCCTGTAATTAATTTATGAAAAAATCTACTATTGATATTTATAATGAATTCTATAAGTAATAACTATCTGGTATTTTTGAATATAATTAAATAGAAAAATAGTAAAAATGATTTTAAAATCAAAATAATAATAGAATATGGAATGAAAAATATATTATATAATGTTTCAATTTAATTTTATTTTATTTTTTTAAAAAAAAATATTTATAAAAACTTTTTTTATTATAAAATAATTTATTTGAACAAAAAATTAAAAAATATACTTTAAAACCCAAAATAAACCTTTTCTAAAATAAAAACTATTTATTATTTTATATTTTTATTATCCTTTATAATATATTATATATCTCTTAATTCTCTATAAAACTAATAAATTTTATTCCAAATAAAATCAATCGAAAAATAATAATAAAAAAAATTAAAAGTTTAAACATAATTCCATAAAATAATTTTCAAAGAATTTGAATATAGTATCTCTTTTTTAAATATAAAAACTTTTAAATATAATAAAAATACAATATATGATACAAATAATTATTGATAATTTAATAAAAGAAAATGCATTATTTGTATATTTATTGATTTCTCAAATAATACATAGAAAGCATAAATAATATTTCTAAAAATAATTAATATATATTGATTTTTTTATTATTTGTTTTAAAGTCCAATATTAATAAAACTAAAGGGGACTTATTATATATTAAACCTAAAATAATTAATTATTTAATTTTTTTTTTTTTTAATAAATAATTATTCGCTAATGAAAAATAAATAAATGAATTAAAACACAAAAATCATAAAACAGCTATTACCTATACAATATAAAAATATAATAAAAGACAAATAATAATATTATATTTAAAGTAAAACAAATATTGCTCTCCATACAATAAAATACATTGAAAAAATAATTTGAATGAAAACCTATAATTGGAAATGAAATTTAAATAAAAAATAGAAAGAAAATATATTAGATCAACTGTAAATGCAATATTTATATACCAGAGAAAATCGATTTTAAAGATAATAACTAACTTATTCAACTTAATCTTATTGAACTAATAAAATAATTAAAAAGATATATAAATAATATTCAAAAAGTAAAAAATAACTAATATTTTATTCAATAATTAAACAAAATTATAGGCCCAAACATGAAATAATATTAAAAATAACAATTAAGAAAAAAAAAAGATAATAATTATTTGAAAAATCAATAAAATAAAAGAAAATATTAAATAAAAAATCATTAAACAAACAAAAAAATAATAATAATTTAAATAAAATAACTTTCTAAATATAATAATATAATCCTGCCTTTAAAAAACATAAATAATTAATTAATAAAAATAAATCTAATTATTAAATAATAAAAAATAAGTAATACAAAAAAAAAAAAATTAATAGTAATACAAGAAAATTTTAAATATGATAAATAAAATATTATTATTTTAATAATAATTATATAAAATATTATATTTTATATTATTAATTATTATTATATATATATTTATAAGCATTATGAAATAAATTTATACCTATAAACATTTTTTTTTTTCTAAGAAAAAGAAATAAATTATACATTTCACCTAAAAAATAAACAAACTATATAAAAATAAAATAAAAGTGAATAAATATAATATATTTAAATTAATAATTAAATATTTATGTTTAATATAAAAAATTAAATTATATAAAAATAATAAAAAAAAACAAAGTATTATATTACTTTTTATTCATTTATATGCTTCTTCAAAATCAATTTAATTAATTACTAATTATTATTTTTCTTCATAATTTTCATCTACCCATTTGTATTTTATAATTTTAGGAACACATTTACCATATTTATCATACTTTTTTAAATACATATATAAAAATAATAAAAAATAAAAACTCCAGTTTCTCTAGCCTAAGTAATAATATAAGGTAAAAAAGGTATAAAAAAAGCCAAAAACGGAAAACTTAGTAAACTATATAAAGTTTTAATCATAAACAAAATTTGCCTAATTTACCATTCTTATTTTTTATCATATCCATAGATTAAAGCAAAGCTACTTCCACTTAATAAAACAAATATAATTAAATCATACAATAATAATTTTATTAATCTACCACCTCTATTATTAATTATTTGATTTTTTTTAAATAAAAAACAAATTAAAATAATACTTAGATTTATCGCATTTACAACAACAACAAAAATCTTAATAATTTGAATCTTTATACATTTAATTATTATTAAATCTAAAACTAATTAACTTACCTTTTGATTAACTACAAGGTAAAATAATAAAACAAATCCAAACCATAATAATTTAAAGACCAAAACCGATAATATCAGACATTATATTAATATTGATACCTGGACCATTTTAAGTACATTATTAATAACTATTACTTTAAGTAGAATTGCATAAAAAAAACTATAAATACCCTATAAACCCACCCAATATTCCAACACAGAAAAATTAAAGTTTTTTAAAAATAACTATATACCTTATTAATTACCATTCATCACTTTTATCAATAGAAAAAAATACTAATAAATAAAAAAGACTTTGTATGCCGTAAAAAGGGAAAAACTCAAAAATCATAAAAAACCAAAATGAAAAGGTTCTAAATTAAGTCCAAATTGATTTATCGACTTTTTTTTATAATCATTTTAAATATATATATATATATATATATATATATATATATATATATATATATATATATATATATCCTTGAATATAGATACCAATTTCTATATATACATAAAAAACTACAATCTATATATTATTCTACATGTTATAAAGGCTCATCAATTTATATTCTGTATTTTATTTATTAAATTTTTATATATATATATATATACTATATAATAATTTTACTTTAGTTAATACATGATTTCTTATTCAATATAAGGCCAATTTTCATCAATCAAGTCATCAATTATATCTTAAACGAACTAATACTTTAAATAAAAATAAATAGAAATTAAATATTAAATTAAAACCATATAAGGATCTTTTAATGCTTATTTTATTTCTGGTCTTGATTAATTAATTAATTATAAAAGAATAACTTAAATTTTATTTCGAATCCATCCGTTTATTTTTTCTTTTTATTATGAAATAAACTATTAGTATTTTACATCTAATTTTTAATATTCTTATTTTATTTGTTTATTTATTATTTCTAATTTTTCTTTAATTTCTATTTTCCCTAGTTAAAGCATGTCTTCGGCTTTTTATATTATAGGATTGTTTTATTTTATATTATCATACTAAAAATAATGATTAAAATTTGGTTTTATTAATAAAAAAAACAACTTTTTATTTGCCAAAATTTTATATGTCTTTTAAATCTTGTTTAAATTTTATTTTTTGCTCTAAATAAAGTTGATCTTATCTAATTTAAAAAATTGAATAAATAAAGTTTATATATTTAATGTTTAATTTTTTAAAAAGTTTAAACAAAAAAAGAAGAAATTCTTAATATTTATTTTTACGTTTATTATTGATTAATTTATAATCTTTAATCATTTTTAGGGTCATATAACATTATTTAAGGATTTTCACTTTATAATTAAGATTATTATTAATCTTTTGAGTTTTACATTCTAATAATTTTTTTAATTAATTAATAATAAAAATTATTTATAAAATATTTTTAATAATTAAAAAATTTAGTTTATAATTAATTAATAATTTATATTTTTTAAAAATAAAAGATATAATAAAATAAACAAAATTTCTGTAAATAAATAAGTAAATACTAAAAATAAAAATATCATCAATCTTTAATTTTAATTTTATTGTTTTAATTAATAAATATTTTTTAATATATATGATCTTTAATTAATTTATTATTTATAATAAATCTTTACTATAAAGTCTCAGACTAATATCAACTTTTTAATTTTATAGTGAAATCAAATACTATTTTTTTTCAAGAAGTTCAAATTTTAGAAATTAAACTTATAAATAAATTTTCTATATTTTAAAAAATAACTAATTTAAATTTAATAGATATAACTAAAATATTATTCAGAATTTTATTTCTCTCTATATATTTTTTTTATATAAACTTAATAAATATTAAAATATACTTTTAGGCTTTAACTTTATAAACTTTTTTAAGTTCTTCAATATAAAATAAATTATATAAATAATCTTTATAAAAAATTAATGCTTCCCTAATTATTTAAAGACTTTCTATATTTAATTATAAATACTAAAACTAAGAACTAATTAAATTTTAAATATAAAAAAGTTAATTTTTATTTATATTAATATGTTAATTTTTTAGATTTATATAAAATATTTATTTTAAAAACAATAACTAAAACGAAAAAAGCAAATATAAAAAATATATTAATACAACTATTTCTATTAAAATAGTAATCAAAAGAAGAAAAAAAAAATATCATTTCAAGTTAAATATATATAAATATTAATTAAAAAAAAAAGGAAAAAATAAAAAAAATCAATTAAAAAAAATTAAAAAAATGTCATCTTGTATAAGTACAGGTATATCCGCTCTATATATTCTAGACCATAAAGGGCGTGTATTAATAAACCGATGTTACAAAGGAGACATGCCAATAAATATTCATGAAATATTCAATAAAAAGATCTTAGAATACGATGAATATACAATAAAGCCAATATTGCGTGACAAATACGGGCACTCATATTTTTACATATAACACAATAATTTAATATTCTTGGCCATATCTCGTAAAAACGCCAACTGTATGATGGTTTTTACATTCTTATACTAATTAGTCTAAGTCTTTGTTGATTACTTTAAAGAATTAGAAGAAGAATCTATTAGGGACAACTTTGTAATTATATATGAATTATTAGATGAGATGATGGACAATGGATATCCTTAAACTACAGAAAACAGAATTCTTAAAGAATTCATCAAAACCGAATATCACGAACTCAAAAAGGAAAAGAACAAATAATAAGCTCCTGTTGATTAGATGCAAGTCAGCTAAATTACAGGAACAGTTACATGGCGTCCTGAAGGTATCAAGTATAAGAAAAACGAAATCTTCCTCGATGTAGTCGAAAAACTCAATTTCTTAGTTAGTAAATAAGGAAGCGTTATTAAATCAGAAATCATTGGTGTTTTAAAAGTTAGATGTGCCCTTTCAGGCATGCCTGAATTAAGATTAGGTATTTTATATTTATATATTTGTTTATTTTAAAAAAAGAAATATAATTTAAATAATAAATATTTTTTTAAATAAATAAAAAAAAAAGGTATAAATGATAAAGCTTATTACGATGCTTAAGGTAGAACCCCAACAACAAAGGCTATAGATTTTGATGACATGAAATTCCATGCCTGTGTTCGTTTATCTAAATTTGAAAACGAGAAAATAATATCTTTTATTCCTCCTGATGGTGCCTTTGAACTAGCTTCATATAGACTTGACTTAAAAGTTAAATCCTTATTTACAGTTGATGTAGTTATTGAAAGGAAATCTTCTAACAAAATAAATTTTAATGTAACCGCTAAAAGTAATTTCAAGGCCAAATCGACAGCAAATAACGTAGAAATTTACATTCCAGTACCCGACGATGCCTAATCTCCTCATTTTAAATCCGCTTACGGAAGTATTAGTTATGTTCCTGATAAAGAAGCTATGTGCTGGTCTTTCAAAACCTTCCCTGGATAAAAAGAATACACCATGACTGCTCATTTCTAATTACCTTCTGTGGTTTCTCCCAACAGGGAAAAGTTCAACAAGATGCCAATCAATGTGATTTTTGAAATCCCTTATTATACTGTTAGTGGATTCTAAGTTAGATATTTGAAAATTTAAGACAAAAGCGGATATCATGCATCTCCTTGGGTTAGATATATTACTCAAAATGGTGAATATTAGATTAGAATGAGTTGATTTTTTTTATTGAAAAAAATCTATTTTTTATATATATATAAAAATGATTTATTTATTTTATGAGGATAATATACAATGAAAAAAAAAAAAAGAAAGAAATGAAAATTAATATATATATATAATATATATTATGTATTTTTTGTTTATCTTTTTTTATTATATAAAAAATATCGAAATGTTTATTTTTTATATTATAATTATTAATTAAAACCCTTTATTTTTATATTCATTATAAAGTTACAAAAAATACATCTTTAAAATTTGTTAATATTTTATCCACAAACTCATGCATTTATTTAATTTCTTAATTAAAATAATATCCTGTAGTAATAACTTTTGCAAAACTATCAACCTCATTGACTAAGAGTTTTCTAAATTTCATATTTTGGATTAATTTAGCCCTTAAAAAGCAAATAAAAATATGATCTTATTTCATTAAACTATATGTATATTTCTTCTAAAAGTAGTATCTTCATAATTCACATTATATTAATAAATATTTAAATACATCTCATTTTTTTGAAACTCTTTTAGATTTTATTAAACAACACCATAATGTTTTCCATTTTCATTTAATTTTAAACTTAAAACGTTTTCATTTCCTAAATAAATTCCATGTATTTAATTACTAGTAATAAAGAAAAAGTACCTGGCCAAATATAAATATGAGTTCCAGGAATCAAACACTCATTTTTTATAGGCCAGAAAATATCAATACTATCTTTATATTAATCTAGATTTTATTCTATATTTTCCATATCTATTTGTGTATTAAAATATATTAGATTGATTATTTCTCTTTATATAAGAAAATAAAAAATATTATATAGTTTTTTTTGCATTTAATATTATTTACTTTAATGCAATTTATATAGATTATTATGTATATGAATACCTATTATTAATGGTTTATTTTATTTGCTAAATATTCTATTTTGCTTCTAATAAGTCTTTACTTTCCAATGTTTAAATAAATTTTAGCTTTGTAACTGCAAAAACAAATTATTTAAATTATTTTTGTTCACATAATTCTACTTCTTAGACTAAACAAAGCTATAATTAATCAAATAACTTCATTTTTTTATTTTCAGGAAGTATTAATGTATTTATATTATTATGATCTCGTAAGTATTTTTCTTATTAGTATTATATTTTTATCTTTTTTCTTGATTAAAATTCTTAAAACAAAACATCTAAACAATCATATTAATTATTACTAAATAAAAAAAATAAATTTAAAGTTTTTGTGTTAAATGATATTAGTAAACTTGAAAATAAAGGATTCAAACTTATATCTGATATATTAAATGTAAATAATATTTTTTCTTTATTTATTTCTAAAAGCTTTAATTCCCACAATTTTTATTCAATTATTTGTAAGAAAACAGATTTTTATTATTCTTCTTCCATTATATTGATTTATTTGCTTATATAATTATTCTTATTTATTTTTTTTAATTATTTTATAAATATTTTACAATATTTTATAATTATTATAATAAACAAATAAAAATAAATATTCTTAAATTATAATCCAATAAAAATATTATATATATATATAAAAAGAAATATCGAAAAAAAAATATAATATATATATTAAATAAATATATTGAGTTATTACAATATAATTAAATAATAATATTGTATAATTAAATAAAATTTATATAAAATTATATAAAATATTTATAATTAGAAATATAATATATAAATATAAATAATATATATATATATATAAATATATATATATTTATATATATATATAAAAATATTTCTTAAATAGCTTTTTATTATATAATTAAAAATATTAATATGAAAAAATATATATTACAAATAAATTTTTTTAAATATAAATTCAAAAAAATAATTAAAGCAATCAAACTCAAACTTTTCTTTTAGGATATCGAAAATATTCTATAAATCTTCATCTTTAATTTGAGTATTTATTATTTTGAAATTTCCCATCACTAAATAAAATTAATAATATCATTTAAAAAATCTATTTTTAACAATTTAATATGAATAATATATATTTAATTTTATTATTTTTAAACAAACAAACAAAATAATTTATGTTCAAAATAATAAAACCAACCTTACAATAATTGAAAACCTAAATTTGTTACTAAACTCATTAATATTTTTATTTTTTTCGAGTTTATATTCAAATAACATTCGAACTCTCTCTCTTTTTAATAAACTATTTATATCTATTTATATATTGATTTTAAGTTAAAATTGCATTATTAATTATATCTTTTTTTTCAAATTTTCTTCTTATTTATTTATTTATTAATTATTTAATTTACATTCCAAAAAAAAAATGTTATTTAAATTACTATTGTTATTTTTTTTTAGTTTATAATCAATTTTATCTATATATTAACAATTTATTGTTTTAGTCAGTAATACAATATTAATAGTGATCAATAAAACATATATGATAATGAATAAAAAAAGAATTATTTTATAAAAACTTGTTATTTTAAAAATATTTAATCAATTTTTTAGGGCTGTAAATATTTTTTTTTTAAAAAAATACAAACAAGGAAATTTAAAAAGGAAAAAAAAAATCTTAGAGTATTAATAATTTTAAAGATAAAAAGAAAGAAATAAATAATTTTTCTTAATGATCAAAATAATTAATATTAATTAAATACATTTTGTTTAATAAATTATACTTTTTTTATAAATTTTTTTACTTAAAATAGTTTAATTATATTATATTAAATATAATACAAAATTTAATGTTATTATTATTTAATAATTATAAAAATAAAATATTTCTTTTTATAAAAATATTTAATAAAATTAGATAAATATATATAATTTATTTAAATATTAAACAAAACAAAAAATATTAAGAACCCCAATAATATAATTGCTAATTCTATATTTTATATTTTTACTAATTTTTTTTTTTTTTGTATTTATATATTTAATAATAGCAAACAAATATAAAATATATAAATAATGTTTCATTTTTATTCTATTTTTTAGAAAAATGGTTAAACTTCTGTTCTTAATTTTAAATATACTTTTTTCCAATCTCTTCTTCTATAAGGTTCTTTTAATTTAATTAATAATATTTATTAATTGAATTTTTAAATATATTATTACTTCTATACATTGTTGATTTAATTTTTCCTTTATAAATAATAGTATTAAGTTATTCAACCTCAAATTTATATACTTTTTTAAATATGTAAAAATACAAAATTTTATATTTTACATTTTTCAAAATATTATTATAGCTCTGGTTTTGTTAATTATGGATCAGTTTTAAAAACTAATGTGTTTTAATCTAAAGGTTTTTCTCCTCTATGTAATTAAACATTCCAATTACAATACTATATATGTCTTTATTCTTTAGGGAAATTAGATGTTTATTTAATCTATTATTAATTTTATAATATAATGACTTATTTGTTTTTCTTATTTATATTTTATTATTTTACTTTTAAACCTAATGGATTCAAACAATAATTTTTAAAACTTTATTTATCTTATATTTTGCTTAATTATTATGGTAATTTTATTAAATTATTCATTCAATTATTTTATTTTTATAAATGATTTTATTTTTAAATGAAAAAAAAAAAAAAATACTTTTTATTTTTTAATTTATTATTTTATTTTATAAATAAAAAAGCTATTTTTAATAAAAATAATTAAGTTAAAATATATGACTCTATTATAGATTTTAATAATTTATCTATATATTATTTTTTAAAAAATAATCAAAAAATAAAACGAATCTAATAATATATATTTTGCTTGCCTTTATTTTATTATTTGAAGTTTTTTTTAAAAAAAAACAGAATAAATAAATGGGTTTAAAAATAAGTAATATAAATACCATTATTAACAAATAAATCATCTTTTTATGGCAAAAAAACTAAAAACAAATAAATAAAAATGAAAACACTTAATAAATTAATTTTATTTATTAAATATAATAAATAAAAAATAAAATTATAGTTTTTTTATTTGTTCATTTATAATTTAAATTGTTATAAAAAATTAATATAATATATTTAAAAAATAAGATAATATAATTCATAAATAAATAAAATTAAAAATAATTATAAAGATTAAGTTCTCAAATTATATTTATAATAATATAAATACTATCAAATTAAATCTTTTATTTTTTTAAATCTTAATAAATAAAATAATATACTATAACAAAAAATATTATATACATAAATAATTATTAAAATAAGTATAAATTAATAAAAAGAATATTTAATCATGAATTTATCAATAAAATCTTATAAATTTAATGAATAATAATAATCTGAACATCCATAAAATGATATATAAAAATAAGTAAAATAAGAATAAAAAAGAAATTAAAGCCCAGAAAGAAAACAATAAAATATAAATACTCCTATCAAATTAAAATCCAGTCCAATTAAAAACGATTAATAACAAAAAAACTTTTTAAAAAGAGTAAGTTTAAATTCAGATGGATTGATTCATTTTTTAGGATAAGCAGGAAGAAACAATTTAATTAATTAAAATGATTAAATGCTTATAAACATATTAAAATAAGAATACATAGATTTAAAAAAAGAAGAAAACCAAAATGTAAAATAAAAATAAATAATAATAAAAATAAAAAAAAAAATAAAGATGATAATATATGCATTAAAAAAGAAATTCAAAAATAAACTAGAAATCGATTTCTTACATAATATAATTATAAAAATTCCTTTTTTTTAAGATAAAAATCTTATCCAAACTCAAGAGGAAAAATAATAATTATACAAAGTAATTAATGAATTATATCATAAAGTTTATCAAAAACATCAAATTGTTTTTAATTATGGTTAATAATTTTATTTTATAATTTTATTTGATATATTTTATATAAATAGCTGAAACTGGAAGAGAATTATTTACTGTAATAAAAGGTTTTTTTTCTAAAATAAGCACTTTACAGATATTTTATATATTTTTTATATAATCATATATATATATATATATAAAGGATCATTTTATTGTTTAGTTGTTGATCCTACCTATAATAAAACATAATAGGAAGATCAGTAAAACAAAAAAATGATAGAAGGTTAAAATGAAGAATCACAACAAGAAAAAGACTAAAGGAAATTTTTGAATATATTATAATAAAATATAAATAAAAGTAATAATTTGTAAGAAAATTTAAAAGGATTTGTAGATAAAATTAAACAAAATTTTTACAAAAAAAAAGGATATTAATATGTTAATAGAAGGTAAAAGTATTATATTTTAATAAATTAAGTATAAAAAAAGTTAAAAAAATATTGAATAATTATAAGTTATTAATGAATAATAAAATCTTAATGATAGTATAAATGAAGAACTTAAATTTTTAAATGAAAACTATTAAGGTTTTATTCTCGTAAAAATTTTCAATCCAGGAGAATCTTTTGGAGAAATTGCTTTAATAACATCATAAGGAAGGTAAATAAATATATATATATATATATATTATATATTATATATTTATCTTTTTATAACTTAATATATTCTTTATATTTATATATATTTAAAGAACTGCTACATTAGTAGCGAAAGAAGAATCTCATGTTATGGTTTTAAATAAAGTTTCATTTGAAAAAGTAATGGGATATGTTAAAAAGAATGTATGGAGAGATAATTTAGATTTTTTAACTTCTTTTTCCTTTTTTTAAAATACTTCAACTCGAAAATTATACTAAATTCTTCATCAGATGAAGGTTATTAATTTAAAAATAAAAGAACCATTATATATTGAAGGAGATCCTTCTAATTTTTTCTACTTAATTAAAGAAGGAGAAATTGAAATTTAACAATAAATCTAAGAAATCGAATAATTGACCCAAGAATATAATGAAATTCAGAACAATTTAGTATAAAAAAACTAAATGTATTTATTTATTTTTTTAAAAAAATTTTGATAAAAAAAAATAATATGAAATTAGCTTGATAGTTGTTAGGAATAATTAGAAAAATTAAGAAATAAAAAAAAAGCTTTAACAGTAAGATACGATATAGTATAAAAATTATTGGACAAGGTAGTTATTTTGGAGATGAAGAAATTGTATAAAAAATACCAAAAAGATTATATAAAGCAGTTTGTTATAGTTAAGAAGCTGAGTTATATTGTTTTGAATAAACAGTAAATATATATATATATATATATATATATATATATATATATATATTCTTATTTCTATATATATTTATTTTTATAATTTTATAGAATGTATGCAACGTTTTAGGTTATTCTTTCTTTGATAAGCTTAAAAATTAAGTTAATTTTAAAAAAGATTTGAAAAATGAAAGGTTAATAAATTTTGCTAAATCACAAATACCTTAAGAAGAAATTGAAAAATTTAGCAAATTCGTAGTATTTTAATAATAAAAGAAAGAAAAAGAACTTTAAGAATAGTTTATATAAGAAAAAGAAGAATTAAAATCTCGCAAAAATAAAAAATAAAATAAAAAAGAAAATAAAAAAATAGAAGATAATAAAGGTTAATCAAATTTATCATCTAACCCTTAATTATAAAAACAAAAATTTGAAGATGAATCATATATGAGTTTCTAATCAACAAATAATTAAATTAATTACGAAAAAGAAAAAAAGTAAAATTCTTAAAATATTTTTTAAAATAGAAGCAGTATTAATATTTAAAAATCTATTTTTGATTTGAACATTTAAAATAATGAATTTTTGAGTTTAAATAAAAGAAAATTATATTCAAAGAACTCGATAGAAATGCCAAAACGAATATCTTAATAAATAGTTAAAAAATAAAAATATATAAAATTATTTAAAAATATATTAGTAGGAACATAAACCTATTATTAGCAGAAATTTTTAAAGCTTAGTTAAAATAGATGAATATCAACCTAAAGAAGAACCTAAATAAACCCATTATAGTATATAAAGATGTTCTATTGATATAAAATCTTAAGAAAGGCCAAGTCTAATTCGTTTACGAAACAGTGTAATTTAACTAACCTAGAAATTCGATAAAAAAATTCTGGAAAAAACAAAAAATTAAATACAATAAAAATAAATTTAAAATTAATATGTCAAAAAAAATTCGCTTTTATATGAAAAAAACAATTTATAAGAATAAGAATAAGACTAAGAATAAGAATAAGAATAAGAATAAGAATAAGAATAAGAATAAGAATAAGAATAAGAATAAGAATAAGAATAAGAATAAGAATAAGAATAAGATTAAACTTCAAACTACCAAAAATTTCAATCTTTATTATTCGATTCAACAGAACTCTAAAATTAAAATACTTCTTAATTATAAACATCAGAACCTAAAAATATAGACTCAAATCAATTTTTAATTAATAACTAATACAAGCCTTTAAAAGAGAGACGTTAATAATCGTAAATGAAAATATATTAAAAAATTATTAATTCATAGAATGTTTCTTAATAGTAAATAATATAACCAACATTAAATGTCATGTAATAAATTAACGATTAGATTTTAAATAAAAATCCATCAATTAATTTCATAGAAGTCATAAATTAAAACATACATAAAAATATATACGAAAATGACATTTTTTTTATAAAAGGAACTTCTTCCAGAAATATATTATAATAATAAGACAAAAAATATTAAACTTGTAACAAATTTATAAGCAGAAGTAATAATACATCGAAATCTGAAAAAAAAATTTAAGATAAAAATATTCAAGAAATAAAAAATAATATTAAACAAAAAAACAAGAAATAATATCAAATATTAATTAATTTTAAATAAAAATGAAAAATTAAGAAAATAAAAAATAATATAAGTCGAACTTAGTAACAAAATAATAAAATTATTTATAATAAAATGCTTTTTATGTATAAAACAAATTAACAAATATAAGAAAGAAAGTAAATACATTTCCTAATTTTTTGTAAAAAATATATGATGTAGATAGAAATAATTGAAATATTAAATTAAAATTAAATAATGAAAAATAATTATATTACAATTAAATTTAAATTATATATAGTAGCATTTACATAAAAAAACAAAGAAAATAAATTATATATAAAAAAAAGATAATAAAATATAAATAAAATATGTATATATATATATATATATATATATATAAAAAAAATATATTTATTTATATTTTTTTATTTTTATTTTTATTTTACTAAAAAAAACAATTAATTATATAAAAAAAAAAAATTAATATAATTTTAAAAAAAAAATATATTATATTAATATATATTAAAAATTTATATTTAAAAATATTTTTTTCATATAATAATAATTTCAAAAAATAAAATAAAATAAAATAAAATAAAATAAAATAAAAAAAATAATTTTTTATTAAAAATATTATTATATTTTTATGATTTAAATTTTTATTATTTTTTTTTTTAAATTTTTATTGTTTTTGATTTTTCATATAATTAATTATTAAATATTTTACTTTTTTATTTATATTATATTTTTTTTTTACTTTTATTTTAATATTATTTTAAACAAAGCTTTTTTTATTTAAGTATTATAATAAAATAAATTTTAATATTTTTTATAAATATCTTTTTTATTAATTTTATAGATTTTACAATCGGTTAAATATTATAAAGACATATCTTTTTTATTTTATTTTTATAAACTCAATTTTTTTAATTTACTTATTTTTATTTTAAAACTCAATTTATATTTCTAATTTAAATTATTAGTTATAATACAAAATATTAATATTATTATTTATAAATAAAATATTTTCACTTGAACAGATTTATTTATAATTTCCTTTTTTTTATGATATTTATATATATTTTTATATATATTTCTTATCTATAATTTTATATTAATATTTTTTTTTATTATTTATTTTTATTATTTAATTTATTTATTTATTATTATTTAAATTTAAAACATTTTTTGTAAATTTATTTGCTTAATTTATTTTCAGTATATTTTTTATTAATCCATTTATAAACTTATTAAATAAAAGTATTTATTTATAGTTTTAATCCATATTATTTATTTTTTTTGAAAAAATTACTTTTGTAATATTTAATAAAATTATAATAATGCAAATCTAAGTTTTTTTTTATTAAAAAATCTTATAATATATTATTTAAAAAAAAAAAAAAAAATTTAAAAGATTTATAAATTCAAATTATTTTTTTTTAAAAAAAAAAAAATTGTTAATATATAATTTAATTTTTTTTGTTTTTATAAAAAAAAAAAAAAACATTTATATATAAAACTTAAAATAAAAAAAAAATATAATATAAATAAGTAAAAAAAAAAATATATAAATGACCTAAACAGTAAATCTTGAAGAATATTAACAAGTTGTCGAATAATTAGACTAAACGAAATTAGAATTAGGTGAAATAACAGAACTATTTGATTAGTAAAAAATAAAAATCAATAATATTTAATAAAAATATAAAAAAAATAGATATAGAAAAGAAACCGAATCAATGGAAAAAGTTTAAACATCATAAGTATAAATGCTTGAAAGATAATTAGAAAAATCCTAATTATAAAATGAATATATAATGCTAAGTTTGAAAAAAGAATTAAATTTGTATTAAATTATAAACAAAAAAAATTATTAAAAAATAAAAAAAATAGAATGTAATAATAATCATAAAAACTAATTTTAGAAAAAGAAGAATAAATAATAAAACTAAAAAATGAAGTAAAACAAAAATAACATATAATTACTTCCTTTATCGATGATTTTAACAAACAATATGAAGATAAAAAAGTATTATAAGAAAGTGATACTAATTAAAACTAATGTGAATAAAATAAAGATGAAATTATTAAAGAATTAAAAAGAGAAGTGGCAGTTAAAAATACTATTATAGAAGATTTAAGTTAAGATATGTATAAAAACAGACAATTAATTACTAATTAAAAGAATGTTTTCCTTTAATTTTAAAAAGATATGTAAATAAATTAAATTAATAAGAAGTATCTTTATTTTTTTATAAATGTAGTATGAATAAGACATAAGAAAGAGATAATAAAATATTTCAAATATAAACTGATTAAATAGAATAATTGAAAAAAAGTTTAGTTGAAAAAGAAGAAGTTATTGAAAATCTTAAATAATCTCCAGAAAACTAAGGTGAAGAAATTGATCTTATGAGAGATTTAATTGAAGAATAATAATAAAAAATCGGAGTTATTACAGAAAATTTCGAAACGTAAAAAAAAAAAAAAAAAAAAAAAAAATTATTAAAAATTCAAGTTATAAAACTGAAAGCGAATAATTATATATGAATTAAATTAGTATTAGAGATAAATAAATATAAAAATTGTAAGAAGAAATATAATAATATAAAAATTAAAAAACAGATATATGATTTATATTAAATAAATATATATATTATTATTAAGAATTTTTTTAATAAATATAAATATATTGTATATTTATTTTAATATAATTCCATTAAAAAAAAAAAAAAAAACATTATGTTTATTTAACCAATTATACCGTGATATCGATTCGGACAGTTATGTGTATTTTAAATGTATTATAAAGAAGGATCATTAAAAATAATTTGGACCATATTTTATATTAAATAAAAAGGCACTTTCGGTAATTATATTACGGCGAAATTTTTTTTTTATAATATTTACAATTTTAAAATTATTTATGACATAAGTTAATTGTAAAAAGAAACACAAAAATTACAAAACAATAGTGTAAAATTAATAAAATAAATTATGAAAAAAAAGTTTTTAAGTAAATATAAATATTATTCTTTTAGTTTTTAAATGTATATGTATTTTTAGAAATAAATAATATAAATTAAAAATATTATTTAAATAAATATAAAAGATAATTTTATTTATTAAAAATAAAAATAATTTAAAAATAATAATAAAAGAAAAGATAATAATAATATTAAATTTAAATATAATTTATTTATAAAATATATTTTTAAAAATTAAGGAGTACATATTATTTAAATTTTTTAAATTTATATAATTACATTATTATTAAAATATTTTTTTTTAATTATATTTGATTAATATATATAGATAATTAATTAATTAATACAATACCATTTTTTTTATTTGATATAATAGTAATATTTCGTTTGAAAAAATAATTTTATAAAAAAGTATGTATATGAGTATATTTGATCAGGTATTTATAAATTATATATTTTTATTTAAATTATTAATTTATTATTGGTATTATTATTTTATTTTATTTAATAATAAAAAGTTTAAAAAAAATAACTATGAATTTTAGTTTCTATAAAAATCTTTTTTTATCGTATATTTTTTTTAAACAATTAATTTAAAATTTACTTTATTTAAAAATTTTAAATATAATATTTTTGATATCTACTTATTTTTTTTGTTCCAAATAAATATGATTCAAAACATAATTAAATAAAAAATATATCAGGATTTTC